TGCTACTGAAAAGTTCAGGTTCAGATACTAGGTTAAAGATTAATGATTATTATCTTGGACATATGTTGATGAATTTAGGGAATAAGCTATTACGGTAGGTCTTATGTTAAGACCTAGACCAAGGACATATGTCTCCCTTGGTATGGTTTTAAAACTTATAAAATCATGAGAAGTGAATATACATCCCTACCATCGTCATATTCTACTTACTACTACCGGGGGAAACAAGCCTCAAAATTAATTTTCTTCAGTCGCTGATCCGTAAGGATGGCAATACAGTATATAAAAGAGTATGCGTTATCCAAGCCAGTAACTAAATAATAATTGTAATAAAATACACCTTAATAATTAAATGTGAAAAAAATATTTCAAGAATGCTTCACAAATATATAATAGAAGTTTACTCTGACAATATAAAATGTAGGAAAATCTCCACTACTGGTAGCGGACTTAAATTGATTCTGTTCCAAAAATCATGCTTAAACAAATTAAAGCTTCCAGTGTACCTGAACTCTCATTTGAATTTGAATTTGTACATAAAGGTAATTCAGACCAAGAGAATTTCCTCTGGATCGGAGTTCTCCCAAAAATGTTGATAACAGGATGTCCAACAATTTTACAAAAGCTATAAGAGACTATTCTACACTGACAGTAACAACTCTCCGGTAGGGTCCGGCTGTTGGGGACTACTTTTTGTTTTTTGTTTTTGTAGATATAAAAGTCCAGAATCACCCCGGGAGCCGTTGTGGGCCCGAGATAAGATCAGTGTTGGACCATGTCTGTCAGAGTGTACAGTAATGGTGTTACAGCAGCCAAACATTATTACCAGGGTCGAATTCTTGTTGAATTTACTTTTTATTGTACCATTATCATAAAATTTGTTAACGATTATTTTATGTACAGTCAAACTCAAGACTAATTCTAATACTTAAGATAAGCTGCTGTTGGAAGTGACTCATAAGAACAAAAATGTTCAATATCTAAAGAGGAAAAAGAAACATACCAATTTGATAGGTACAATGTTGGAAATGACTCATGGGGTCTATCTTCCTAATCTGGCAAGAAAAAAGTGGAGTTAATGACAGTAAATTTCCCATTTTTATCAATTTGACGATGTCTATATCTATAACTATAAAATATGAACTATGTATGTATGTATATATGTATGTACCTTATGGTATGGACTTCGAAACCGCTTGACGAATTGTAATGAAACTTTCAGGCATTATTGGGCATTATTCAAGGATGGCTTGAGTGAAGTTTGGTGCAGGTCCGTCAAAAGGGCTCCGCCACAGAAGACACAGTAGGCCAATGTCAGACTTTTTTGAACTACAATGTTTAGAAATAATATAACTAGCTGTTACCTGGCAACTGTTTTGTAGGTTTGAATAATCACATAATGCTGTCTTAGTCATGATTTGAATTAGTGCCACACAATGTTTCTACAGAGTACAGCACAGAAAACTATTTTACTTTTGAATAAGTCCAAATATATTAAACCCCAATCGCAGCACACCTGTGCACTCAACAACGTTTAAATTCTGCACTATTAAATATGCAAACATAAAAAGTAAAAACCTTTATCAAAGTATTATAAGCAATAAAAGAGATGGCATTGCCTTAATATTTTTTTCTTTTGTTCTGTACCCACACAATCTAATATAAATTATTAAGTGAATAATAATCGTGTGTACAATCTCAGGTATTCAAATGCCTCTCAATTTGTCATTAACCCACCACATTACTGTCATTAAAAGAAGGAACTCCAATAATACTAATGCGAAACTTAAATCCACCGAAGCTGTGCAACGTTACCAGACCAACGATTAAAAAAATTACACCAAAATTGGTTGAAGCAAAAATTATCAGTGGTAAGTTTAAAGGAGAAATAGTCTTAATCCCAAGAATACTGATGATTTCATCCGAATTACCCTCAATATCTTAAGCAACTACAATTTCCTTTGTGTCTTGCTTTCGCAATCACCATTATAAGGCACTAGGGCAATCCCTGGCTGTCGTCGGTTTAAATTAAGAATATCCCCGCTGCAGCAAACCTGCAGACTAAGCGAATTTCCATTTGCCTGGATTGATTTTCAATTAATCTATTAAATTAACATTTATGTAACGAGTACCTAGGTTAGCTGCTACAGGGAAACTAATAAAGTGTGTTTTTTAGCGAATTTCCCATATAGGGAATAAGCTATTACCGTAGTACTCATAGTAAGACCTGGACCCGGGACCGATTTTTTTTTCGTTTTGAGGTCCCTAGAGGCCAAAAACACCATCCGTTCAAATTCATATATATATATATATACTAGCTGTGTGCCCGTTCTACGCACGGGGATCTTATCGTAGTCAGTTGAAACCTTCTTATATTAAGAACATCAGTTGGTTTGCAGATTTTCAGATGTGCTGGCAAAACTATTATACAGGGTGTCCCGGAACTCTCTACCAATATTTTAGGGCATTGTTCCTGGGTAAGAAACATATCTAAATATCATATTTAAATTGTCCGGAAGTCCTTAGTTACTCAGATAGCCGCCATTTTGTTTTTTTTCACTTATTAATTTTTTTCTGAAAATTTGTTAAACATACGAAGTTGAAACTTTGCACAAACATTTATGACAACTAGACAAAGCTACAAAAAAATTATGACGATTTTTCAAATTCATAAAACAAAATGGCGGCTGTTTAAAATTTTGTTTCTTAAATTACTCGAAAACCGTTGATTTTACAAAAATTTTACAAGAATAACTTTTTTAAGGCAATTTTATTACAAATCGATCGACACCTTAATCTTTAAGATCGGACGAGTATTAACTGAGATATGGCATCTTGCATAGTTTTAGTGATACGTGACCGCCGGATATTAGTTGCAGCGCATGCTGAAAACGGTCACGTATCACTAAAACTATGCAAGATCATAAAAGTGTAGCCTATCTTATTTTTGTTTAGTTGCATATTTTTACATTAAACAGAGAACTATTAATTCAGTAATAATAATGTTTTTGTAAATTATAAAATGTCTGCTTACGATTAATCGTTATAGTTAATAAACGTTATAGTTTTTTTTTCACCACACTATGTTGTTTTTGGCTGTATTACATACGTTAATTGGTGGCTGAAAGTTACGTTTTGCTGGCCTTGCCAGCTGTCATCGTAATTTGGGGACTGAGCAGGTTTTTACAGCCCGGGGCCGCAAAATCAGCTAAATACACAATCAAAATCCATAGCATTGCAATAGAATTGTATTATTGTGACCATTGCCTAGCAACTATTTATTTTTATTTTTGCTGATTCCTCAAATTATTTCTTCACATAACCTTAAAGTTGTAGTTGTGTTGACTATCAGTGTGCATTATTATAGTCAGTGGTGGATAGTGGTAATAGATAGGGTATAGTGTGGTGAAAAATAGTGTTCGTACCACGGACCGAAATGGTTTTGCAGCTCTCGATCGATTTCAGTTCTCGACTTCGTCTCGAACTTAAAAACTATCTCGAGCCGACAAAACCTCATTTTCGACCCTAGGTACGAAATATACTATTATTGTAAAACCCAAACTGACAATACAAAAAGTAATGGAAGGACTAATTTGATTCAAATGATGGGTGTGTTGCCATTTATTAGATCATATTTATTTACGATATCGATTTTATTATTCTCTCAATGGTAAAATCCCGAATATAATGCAATTTGACTTAGCCATTTATCAAGAATTACGATATGGATCGAGTAACAAATACTGTGTCACAGTCACAGACAAAGTTGTCTATGACTGTCTTTAAATTAATTTGATTCAAGGACACAGTGGGCCTTTCTGGAGAATTACACCAGTCAAAATGGGTAGAGAAACAGGTTGGCAACACTGACGAATATCTCCTCGGCGGTGATAGTTCCATCAACGCTCCATCCTTCGTACGGGGGTGTTTTGCGAAGCGATTTTTATAAACAACCCTCACAAATTACTCAATTTATGAGTTAACTGTTGGTTTTTATGAATTCCTACTTAGCGGGAAATCATCTAAACAAACTAATAAAGGTTTTAAAACGGAAAAACTTTCTAATTTTGTTTTAAAAGTTTAAGGATTATGTAGATGAAGATGACCAATTTTCATTAAGTTTAACCTTGAATGAAATATGTCTCGTAAAAGTTAAATACCTTAAAATATGTTAATAACCTAGTTTATTTCATGAGAAACATTTTGCCGTTTACCGAAAGTCGATAAGTGCTTTAATAAGCCCAGAATTTGAGTAATACGGAGGTGTGTTTTTCAGCCGTTTGGCAAAGGTTTAGAGCCCTCTTAAAGCACTGCAACTACCACTCCGGATAACACAATCTTCTCGATTGGGTTCCTTTAATGATGAAATCAGTGCATCCAACCCCTCGAAGCTATAAGTTAGGTAAGCATTTTTATAAATAAATCTTGAATAGTATCAACGAAACCCTTCTTTCAAAGATATAATAAATTCAAATTTAATATATCGCAATTACAAGAAAATATATCGTTATTTGTTGATGTTTTGGTTTAGGCTACTTGGTGTATATGGTGTTACGGTACGTTCGTCTTGCTGGCCCAAGCGTGTATTGAGTACAGCAGTACAGCCATTCTTCAACTAATTACCTAAACATGCCATGTTGAGCATCCGTGAAACAGTGTGTACATCAGGAGTAAGTTTTATGACCAAAGGGTAAATCATAATCAAATGTATCCTAAAATAAGAGAAAAATATTTAGTTGATTTCCTGCGCAATCAAATGTCAACAACACGAAATATACAAAACACACTAAATATTTTACGGTAGGATAAGTAGTCTATTTTCATGATTTAAAGTCAATGGTGTAAACTCTTGCGGGAAAGGTACTCTGTAGCTGTGATAATATGTACATCGCTAAAGTTTCCCCGAAGTCTGAAGCTTATGTGTCTTTTTCCTTGTAATCATCGTCAAAAGGTTCTCCAACATGTGTTTTCGAACAACAATCAATGGCAAATAACAAAAATATTTATATTTTCACACCGTATTTTGTATATTTTGCTAACGTTTCTGCATTTCTGCAACCTTCATTGAATTTAATTAAACTTATTAGTCCGAGTTGTGTTAACCATGTCTTGGGGCCCGTTAAACACTCATTCTCCTACACATACTTTTGCGCCTCTCTTCTTGTCTAGGATTAGGAGAGAATTGGTCGCGATCCTCACCAACCCTGTCCCAGGTATTCACGTTGTGGCCGACGAGCAGGACATCACGTTAGTTCACTGTCTGATCGTAGGACCCGCCTACACACCATACGAGGGTGGCTTCTTCTATTTCATCGTTAGGTTCCCGCCGAACTACCCTATCGCACCTCTCAAGGTCAAGTTGATGACCACGGGTGGGTCAACCGTCAGATTCAACCGCAACCTCGACCGTGACGGTACAGTCTGCCTCAGCATCCTCGGCCCAAGGAGCTCATGGGAAGGTCCTGGGTGGAGTCCACTCCAGAGTCTGACTAGCGTCCTCATCAGCATCCAGAGTCTGATGAACTCAAAGCCTTACCACAACAAGCCCGGTAATTACATACAGATTTTTCCAGACGGAGAACAAGACAATCAGCTGATACAACATGAGACTCTGAGAGTAGCAGTTGTCGGGATGTTGGACAACGACTATTCGATAAACCTGCCTCAGCCACTACGACAAATCATGGAGAACTACTTTGTAAATAACTATCAGACTTACACCACACTGATCGAAAGAAGGTTTCATCTTAACGGTGCTACACTGAAAGATAGATTTAAGTGTTCAGTGTGTCAGCCGCTTTACAAGTGTGACTATAAGCAAATACGGAAGAGAATAGGAATTATTTACAAAAGATTGCACGGCGGTTCGGATGGTTTTTGGAAACGTATTAGTGATTTCATTAGTTATTAATATTAACATCATAGTGAGCCTTTCGCAAATCAAAGTTGAAAGGTTGCACAGTGGTGATTCATGTTTCATTGTTGTGTGTTGTTGTGTGATTAGCGTGAAGAGAAGTGTCGTTTGCACCGAGTTGTGTGCATTTTTACTTCAACAAATAAACGTGGTAGTCTATCTAAATAAATACCGAATAAATGATAAATTTAAGGAACAAATTTACTGTAAACATGTATATTTCACCATTACTGTTTGATACACATCCAATAAACCGTGCTATTAATAATCTAAATTACTTTATTTACAGCTAGACCTCTATCTCCTTTCAACCATCAGTTATTGATATTTTGTTCGTAACTTATAAGTATTCCGATCCGAGAGTATGGTGACGTTCTATATTTCTATGATTTTGTATAGAACAGTTTATGATTTACGTAAAAATTCGGGCTAAGGTTTGTGATTTAACTCGTAGTTTGTTTTGTACACGTTACAGAATAGTAGCGACATAATCAGTTGTCATAATGGATAGTATTAATTCTCTAAACTTAATTAGCAAGTCACTAAAATCTAACGTGAGTTGGAAACCTTAAAAGGTATTGACTATACAACCACACGTTAAACCATAGACTAACCAACACAAGGTTAAACATAACTACATATTAATGATATTACATTAGTGTTCTGTACCACGGCCACCTTTAACTACAGGCCACGGCCTGGTAGAATTGGCAACGTCGCAAGTGGTGTTGTCTAGCGCCAGACGTCCCATAAGATAACATGGCAGACAGGTGACATAAGCTCATTAATTCGCACTTTATCGATTTAAATTTAAATTTATGAAGACAAATTGATTAAAATATTGAAAATAAAACATAAAGAATTGAAAATCAGAACAGAAACAATATGAATTAAAAATCTATCTGTACATTTTTAAGTGGAGTCAATATTGTTATAGTCCAGTAGTAACCAATCTTTTGTAAATACACAAATACCATTTAGCTGCTTCCAAACAAAACAGCTGTTACACCACGACTTGTGACGTTGCCACTTCGAAGGCCGCGGCCTGGAGTTAAAGGCGGCCGTGACCCTACACAGTTTTTCTTTTGTACAATTATCAATCTATTTATTGTTCTATTATGATATTCACAGATTTTGTTTCTTTTGCACACCAAAAACAATAGGTAGTTATTAACTAAAAGAAAACATTTACAATATTAAAAACTAACCTTGATAATTTAATCATTCAATAAACATTGGCAACAAACAAAGGTGTCCGTGCAAACGACCTAAATGGGAAATTTGATTTAAATAAGCAATAAAAACTAAAACGAATGTCGTATCTACATGTTTAAGCAGCTTGAGCTAGCCTCTTCAGAAACAGAAAAACTATCGTTCATGTTTTGTTTGTTTTTCTAGATCTTGATCTAGCTAGATTTAGAATACCGCCATAAAAACACATTTGTTTATTGTCGTGTCGTTGTTTTGTTTTGCGTGTGTTATGTATTGTGTTAAAACTGATATATATTTAGAATAGAATTTAATATCATCCTTTACCTCTGTCCAAGAGAAGTTTGAGTTAAAAACAATTTACTTAACCATCTTTTTATAGGCCTAGGCTTAGGCTACTTTGATTGAAGTGAATTTGGAACACACTCGGTCATATTATGGACTTGCCTTAAGTTGTTTTTGGAATATTTTAGTTAAGTTACTTAGGCTTGTAGAAGAAGATTGTTATCGTCAATTTATTTTGTTGTTGTTGTATACTAACATGTCTAAAAAATCTATTGAAGGCAAGTTTTCAATTCAATCAGTCTTTCACGAAGTTCAATTTTCTAAGAGCAGCCATGCATCTTACAAGAAGATACTAACCAACATCTACAACAAAGTATGTACTCAGGCCTCATAAGTAGGCCTTATCTTATCTAAGTTTGTTACTAGGCTAAAAAAAGTTAATGGTTGGAGGCTCAGACTCTGGCCCTTCCCTAGTCCTAGGCCTATTCTTAGGTCACAAGTGGGCCTAGGTCTACAAGCCGTTCTAGGCCTAGTTAAGTTATGACCCTAGGTACTGTCTTGCATTGTCATGTTTACCTACAAGTTTGCTTTGTTAACTTCAACTTAACTGTCCTATAGCCTAACTTACCTTAAATTTGACAGGTATACTAATTTGAAAGCAGTTAGGCCTATTCGGGGTAATTGAGATATTCAATGTGACATGCCTCCATTAACACGTTCACTGCGCATGCGCTGCGTGGATGAGTGCGCAAAAACGTTTAAATTTAGCTTTATCCAAATGAGTGGCATATAAGTACCGGTACAGCAGGCCTAAAAACTGCGTCCCAGTCATTTTGGACATAGCCTAGTTTTCAAAGAACCCAACAGATAGCAGCACCACACAATACTGCTAAGCCGGCCCTTAGTATCGCCCCATGGAGGAAAAAAGCAGCGGTGAAGTAACTTACCTGGGTACACAATAAAAGAAATACCGCAAAAAAGCAGTCAACCACAATTTTGAGGTTAGGTTCCTTCCACAATGCTAAGTTCAGTAGTCTAAAACTTGATCCAAGTTCCTAAAACCCACACTAAGTTAACTAAACTTAAATACAATAAATTTGTAACAATCCCTAACGTACCACTGATAAAATAAGTTAAGTTAGTCGGATCTGAAAATGAATTACAAGATATTAGCTGTTCTCACCATTAACCGCGGCCGGCTATCGTGCAACTGCGTTGAACATGTTTTAACATATTGGATATAAATAGCATAGGGCCTGTAAGTTAAGTGGAACAGACTAGCTAATTTATATTTAAACATACATGTTTACAGTACATTTAGTAGTTCCACCAACATTTTAGGCTAGCCCACGATTACTAGAAAAATACCGGCCTAGAAAAATAACGTCATAAATGACGTTTTTGGCCCGAAAATAAACATAATTTAACATTGCTTAAATGGAACTGCCAAAACATATGTTCAATGCTAATAGTATAGGATTCGGGCCAACGACGTAATTTTGTTTATGTTTATGATCCATACCGGTATTTTTCTAGTAATCGTGGGCTAGTCTATGTTAAATCTGACATAAATTTAAAAAAACATGTACGGTACTTGTAGCAGTTTTTAGTGTGTTTGACTGATTTCCATCCAGATGGTCATCAACATCAAGGAATTTAATAAGGAACTTAGGGTCGGTTAAAGAGATTGCAGCATAGTAACTTAACTTAAACTATAAGTTATTCGCTGTTTTTACCCTTTTTTAATGAAGACAGATTGTGTTTAGCCTAAGTTATTTATTTATTCCAACGGGTAATCCATTTAACTTACATTGCCTTTACCGTAATACAGTACGAGCTGTTGGCCCGTCCTACGTACGGGAATTGAGTAATCAATCAATTGAGTAGGCCTAATTATATTTCTACTTGTATCAATCAACTAAAACTGAAGTCATTTCAATATTTCTATTTGTAATCCTGGAAGCAAAGTTTAAGCGGTTAAACTTTTATTGTAAACAAAAAGCTGTCAAGATGAATTAAAACATGTAAACATTGTTATTTTCCTATTCTTTCCTCAAAAAGTCTAACAGAAAAATAATTTGCATAACCTTTCCTTTGAAGACTCGGCGGCAGATAGCCTCAATTTGTATACATCAGTGGTTATAGAATCTTTTTCATTTCCTATAATCAATGGCAAAATCACAGAATAATAAACTAACCTGATATTTCTATAGAATATTCATCCAGCTGTTAGTTTAAACAAATTATATTATACTAAAACAAACTTAAATTTTTAAAGACTGCTCTAAAAAATAAATTAGAATATCTAGAGTTTTACCATGTATATTTAAATAGTCTGTCATCCTCTTACCAAATAAGTGAACGTATCGCAATGAGTAGGCCTATAGCATTACACATAGTATGAATAAGTCAGCCCCATGCATGTCATTATTATCCAAATGCTGAAATTGTGTCCCACACGCTTAATGTTTACAGCTGTTACGTTAAGCAAATGGTATTATACCAAAAGCTAGTGTAAAATCAAAATGTTAGCGTCGGCTGCTAGACTTTTTAAAATTTTAAACATATTTTCTAAAAAACTGAAACCCTAAACTAAAATTATGGCTTCGACATTCCCTAGTTCTCAAAATTATCTTTCTTTTAACACCAAAATAATGAAAATCCATCAAGTGGTTGATTCAGAATCGTGAAATAAAAAAAACCCTGTCACGTTTTAATATATAAGATTGCAGTTTGGCAAGATGTAAATTAGGCTACGTGAAAGTTCACTTCAACCTATAGCCTATATTTAATTTGAGTGTGCCCGATATCGGGCGATTTATGCCGAGGCCTTAAGCATTTACAATGTCAAGGAAATCGCCGATTTTTGCACGAAAATGAAACTAATTTAACTTAATATAGTATTTATTCGGTTCAGAAATGAATAATCTGTCGATTGATGTGCATTTCAACTATTTAGACACCTTTGGGAAAACTTAAAACTCTATGAAAATAACACATTCAGCTGACAACATTGTCATGATGACGCAGTCTTTTCGCTTTTTACCGGCGTCTGTTGTTGCTTATTTTGCGTTGTGTTTGGTTAGTTTCGGTGTTTGGGCGTTATGTTACCGGTATAAGTTTTATTTTTTATTGAAATGTGAGTTGAAATGAAATGAATTGAAATGGATTCTCTACGTATGTAATATAACTTGAGCATTTTATAAATTATTTCTTGTGTTAGACCTGAATGTTTCGCTTCAAGTATTCGTGTAGGTGGTACAACGAATATATATAATAGGCTAATAAAAACCGTTGTAACTTATGTATTAAAAAAAAACAAAAAAACAAGGTACTTTATGTGTTATAGGCCTATATCAATCTTTTCCTCATGAAACCGTGCACAATTTGTAATTTTGAAAAATGATTTTGAGATCATTGATTTGTGTTATAATACGTAATATTATGCATAGGCCTATGAATAAATTTTTTTTTAAAAATTCCACTTAGTAGGCTAAATTACAAAAAAAGTTTTTTTGTAAATAAAAATTTCATGTCTTAAATTTATATAATATTATGCCTAGTTTTTTGTTGAAAAAATAATGTATAATATGACTAACAAACTTATTTCCTAAAAATGTGTTACAACAAATTTTGCGCGACCCATAAAAAACCCTTGCCACCACAGCATAAAAAGACCACCAGCTCGAGAGTTAAAAATAATTAAAAAAGATAAAGTTATGCTGGTGTCTATGAGAACAACTCTGACTGACAAACTTAAGTACCTAGGTAAGTTAAGTAATAAAGTAATATTTGGGATTTCAAACAAAAACTTAGATTTTTTCTAGTAGAAAATAGAGTTTTTAAAGAAAATTATATTTTTTTATTTTCCAGAGCAATATCACAGATTTTTTGCCAGAATTCATCAAATGTTTAAAAGTTTGTATACTACATGAAGAGAAGTCTGCCAATGTTGAAAGGACATTGGATTTCACTGCAGATTTTGCCGTGTCATTTAGTTTTGATCTGACTGAAGATGAAACCTGCCCACTGCTTGAAGGAGTTTTCAGCTTTATTTTTGAAGTAAGTTCAACTAGGCCTAGTTAGACTCTTAAAATGCATCGTGTTAACATATCTTGTGACAGCATTTTTGGCAATTTCATAATTATATTTGAAAATGGAGCAATACTTTGAAAATAATCATCTTGTTAGTTGTTGATACTAAATTTCCAACTAGCCATAAATAATTCTGCTCAAGCATGCATATAAGTAAGTTATGGGCATACATTTGATTGATTTCCATCTCTTACAATGATCGGTTGTTTAGAACCATGACTGCATTACCCAGCTGGTGCGATTGAGGGTTTGTCAGCTGATGAATCGTCTGCTAGACAACATGGGCCATGACGCCTCAGTAGTAGAGGAGACGTACAATAAGATTGCCGAGTGCATGTTGGTACGATTGCAGGTAAGCCTACAGCTCAGATTCAATTAATTTACATGCTGTTGCATATACCAGAGAAATAGTAGGTATCTAGAATACAAAATAGTTTTAAATACTGTAGGCCTTCATCTTCGATATATTCTCATCTCAATTAGTGTCTAGCTTATTAAATATAGTGCTAATGTATTTATAGTTTGATTTTTTATTGTCATTTAAAGGCCGTTTTTTTAAGGCTGATGGTTAATTGCTAAACAACATTAAGTACATTTTTTTATTGAAAAGATGATAGATCAAGTAGATTCTTCTAGTACAACTGAATGTTTTGAAGTGTGAGCGTACAGGATAAGAGGCCTGGAAAATTCATAGTGCTTTTATTTATAACATTCTTTCCTTAGTAGTTTTCTTTTTTTCCAAGAGACTTGACAAAAAAGTTTCTTTGACTAAAAAAACCTACCTATTTATATTTTTCCAAAGTATTTTGTTGCACATTATGTGCAAGTATTTTGTCGGGATTCTCCAACGGGGAAGCTCTAGTAGAATCATAGGTATTTTTGACAAAAGAAAACAACAAAAACCAGGATGTCAAAATTCCAGCTAGGGTTTAATTACATTAGGTACATCTTAATTAATTACCTTAATTACCACTGCGTCGCCGATGACCAGATGATCTGGATAGGCTGTGTCAATTCATGTCTAGGCTATCTTGGATTGCGGATGGCTCCTCTCCAAGGTTCCCTCATAAATTCGTCTGTGTCAAATAGGGGGTCCACCAGGAGTCTCTCCCTTACCAATCTTTTAAACTGGGCATTGTTCGCCTGCTTTACTTCAATTGGGAGTCTATTGAAAAGTCTCACTGCCATAACTGGGAAGCTGTTCAGTGACTTAGCCAGTCTGCATCTTGGCACATCCAGATCGATAGCTCCTCTAGTGTTGTGCTGATGTACTGCACCACGCTGTATAAAGTCACCAATGTTCTCCTTAACGTAGCAGACGGAGTCAAGTACATATTGACTAAAGATGGTAAGAATGTTAAGAGAGGAGAACAGAGGCTTACTGTGGTCTCGGCGGCCAGCCGAAGTCAAAAGCCTCACTGCTTTCTTCTGGAGCCGCAGAATCTTCTGACTCTTTGGTCATCAATGCCATTGTAATTCCTTTTATTTTCAAGGGGTTTTGTCTGTATATTTTATCTCATGTGCTTTATGTGTTATTAGATGCTAAGAGAAATCGTCATAGATTTTTACTGTGATGTGATGCATGATTAAAATTGATAAAAGGTATTATAAAAATTGCCCAATTGTTTTCCTCCAATGAAGCAACACTGCCCAAACTTCTTCCACATAGTGTAGACAAATATTTGATTTTAACCCTCCGAGTGTCACTCGTCGAAAAATCGACGCACGACACACTTTGTGTAGTGTCACGCGTCGATTTTTCGACGCGCGAACATCGTTTACGGCGAAGGCTCTATGACTGACTGAATCGGATTGAACTGGATTGAGTTAGGTATCGTTCTTCTCGTTATATTCTAAGCTTTCTCCAGAGGTCTGTCTCAGCGCTGTATGTTCTCCGAGCCGATCGTAATTGTAGCAGACAGCTGACGTGCGTATTTGTAAATAGCTAGGTTACCCTCGGACCGATGACTGATGTGTTTTATTACGTTTATCATTGTTTTAGTGTTAAAAATCAAAAGTAGTGATATACGTGGTGCATTATAAGAAGATTTAAGTGATTTTGAAGGGCTGGTTGATGATCCTGAAGAAGTAGGTAGTGATATTGATGTAAATTATCAGCCAGATTCCTAGCTATGGTTAGGCTATGCATTCTTAGCTAAACGCTATGTACTGAAATCTGTTTTTTGCCCATAACTTATTTATTTGCAAATCTACTTCCTTATATTATTATATACTAGTGTACATGTTGCTCGAAATCGAGCAATTTCAAAGAAGTAAAGTAGTTATTGAAACCAAATAACTTAATTAAAAACTAATATAAACCATAATTTCCGACGAATTTAAGACTCAACTAATAGATTACGTGCCTAACAGTTCCATATAATGAACATTTCTTGTAAATATATTATAATTGTTCAAAAGCTGATCTGGGTTTTTAGTGCATTCTACAAATGTTTCACTTATAGCCGCATTAGGTTGTCCATGTTGATCTTCGTCAATGATAATGTAGTCGGCATGGTACCACATTGACTATACACATCTACGTACCACTCATTGTCGCCAGTACGTTTACAAATTTCAGTCATTTTTGTATAGCGATAACATTTTGTTTACATTACTTACGAGCTGCCTGATGCCTGATTCTCTGCATAAACTACCTGACACAATTTTATTTTCTTCAGTTGGAATTCATTTGGCTGGTTATTGTTATAACGTAAATTATATTTACCTGGAAAATGCAGAATTGAAAGGCCTAAAATGTTGTTCAAATGGTTTGTTGTTTCCCTTAAATGTGAATAATGCGAATTCTTCAATTAAAGTTTTATTAAGGTTTCTTTTTGGATGTAGTCATATTCTTTTTCAAATCACTTGACCTTTATGAAAACATATAGTTAATGTCCTTGCATTACCAGTTTAAATCAGCCTTAGAGGGTTTTCCTTTGCCAATTATCATAATGTTAAGTCCATGTTTCCTACAAAATAGTAGTACTATGGCTAACATTCTTGTTCATTGTTTGTGGGAATCTTCATTATTGTATGTTTTCTTCATTATATAGGCTAATAACGATAGTACTTACCTAAATTTTGTTTTCTCTATTTCTTCTACTTCGTGGCGTTCTATAACTTTCCTATGTTCGTGGTAAACAAATCGGTTCTTTCAATGATTGCTAAAGTATTACAGTACAATGTTAATTGTTCAGGTTTCTCGATTTTTTAAATAATTGTAATATGTACGAATTTAAATTAAAATAGTAAATTTAATTTTTAAAAAATCAGTAAATGTACCCAATGCGATTCATTAAGATAAGATAAGATAAGAATATATTTATTTCCAAAATTACAAATCAGAGATTACAATCGTGGCGTAAAACAAATGTACAAAGGAAAAAAATCCCCACAAAGACTGTGCATCTGCATGTGAATTGAAAAATAAATAACAGCAATTAAATTATACAGCTGATCAAAATGTAAACAATTATGTTCTTCATAAGGATAGTATGGAAACTTTCAAAGCCTTTGGGGCAGAGCCCAAGGGACTTTTTCAGAAATGTAAGGCCAGTTTGCAAATCTACGCGATACGCTCTTTCCAATGAGACGTCAATGGATAAAATCGGTTAAGAAATGGCGGAGGAGTTCAACCGACAAAGTTTCATGTAGCGTATTAATTATATAGATTTGTAATCCTCATAAAATTTAGAACAAAGTGGCTATTTTCAAATATTTATAGGCCTATAATTTATACAATTTCATTGAGCGCGAACTTATTTTTTTTTTTGAAAATTTTCCAAAATATTTTTTTTTACCTAAAAAATTTTTTTGAAACAAATGTTCCTTATGTTTTATGTATAATATTGAAGCCCATGATTTTCCAAACAATATGGTATATAGAACAGTAGAATTAACATTGTTTTAAGCTTCTCAGATCGGTTTTAATAAAACCTTGCAAATGCGCCAAAAATAGGCGGACATTAAGGCCTAAACACTCGGAGGGTTAGGTTGGCAACACTTAATTTTTTTTCAGGACTCCATGTCAAGTGTAAGGACACAGGCAGTGTATGCGCTCTATCGTCTGCAATCCCCAGGGGATCCCAACTGCGAAATCATCAATGGTATTTATTGAACTAGGTCTAGCCTACTTATAATAAAACCACAACAATCCCATACTGCATTAATCAGAATAACATGTTCTATGTACAAATATAAATGCAGTATAAATGAAATAGGTACTCTAGGCGCTAACAGATTTGTTCACTTAACATACATTAGAGTGTAGTGTTTAAATTTAAACAAAAATTCTTGGAGAAAGATATAGGTAGGTCTATTGGACCACAGATTATCTTACGGTTAGAGCTATTCCTAATGATAGATGATGTGGTGAGTACAACATAATATTTTCAATTACTTTGCTTTTCTTGTCACTTTCTACGTATTGATTGGAGGTCTCTGTTTTCCAATTTCAAATACCAATTAACTACACCCAGGGTACTTTGTGACAAAAAACCGTCAAATACCGTCCAGTTTCAAAAAAAGAGTTGTAGGCCTAAGGATGAAGATTTAAATTTAATAATCAATTGCCAAACATATTTTGATCTTAATGTAATTGTGCTGTTTACCATCATTTGTCTGCTATTTCACTGCATTTGTCTATGCTTGTTATTTAACAGTCTTTGTCTGTCCTATCTCACAGTTTTTGTCTTTGTTTTTCCACAGCCTTTGTGTTCCACATGACGCACGATCCCTGCCACGAGGTACGGCGTGCAGTGGTGCAGAAGATCGCTGTCAACAAGATGACATTGGCCCATGTCCTCACGAGGATGAACGACGTCAAAGACACAGTCCGCAAGGAGGCTTACATCGTCATCGGCAGATTTGTCATCCGCCAGTTCACCATCAAGCAGCGACAGTTGATATTGGAAAACGGACTCGGAGATAGATCAGGTTAGCATGACAGCGAACAAGGTCATTCTATAACTACAACATCAATTCAATATTAAAGTTCACTTTTTTATACAATAAATCAGCCTAGTAAAACAGATTTAAATGTAGAAGATCATTGGCAAAGAGTACTAAAGAAATGTTATAAGAAACAACATCTGTTCAAAACCAATCAGCAAGTTTGCTTTAAAAGTTTCAAATTATATTTTGAAATGATTTTACTAATGTCTTAAAGCAGAGCATATTTGAAGGGATTTCCACTGGGCGACAGTACCGGGCGGTCTGAAGGGAATACCCCCTATCAAAAAGGGGGGTCCAACTTAAAGAAATACTTAAACATAATTTTTGAAACTTTCATTGGACGTTATTAAAAATTAAAAAAAATAAACCCTTTTCAGAGCTGATCCGAGACTATGTGAAAACAAGCCTCATTCCAAGCTGGTTGAAGTATTTCAACCATAACTATCAAGAATTCTTGGAATGCATCCATGTTGAAAAAATTGTCGATACATCTATGAAACTGTTGAAAGCAGTTTTTGGGTGAGTTAATTGAATGTTTCATTCACCATTTTAGTATTTAAGGTCGGTAATTTTGTCTGTGAGGTTGAAAGTTTTTTTGTAGGTGAAAGTTTAATTTTGATGTGTGTCTGGTGTTGTGTTGCTGTAGGTCTGTAAGGAAGTAATCGCCTGAAGAATGGTTTGACAGACTTGAAGTGATATTTGCGTTTTGTCACAGGAAACAACATGAAGTGATACTTGAAGCCAAAGCTAAAGAGATGCACATTATCAACCAGAAGATCGCGTATCACAAACTTACGATGGTGACGGTGGTGTTCTGGAGAGCCTTGGTGGAGTTCTGCAAACCAACAGACGAGAGTGACAAGTGGGAACGTGTGTTCCAGGTGATCCTACCAGATCTCACACCGTTTTGTCAGTATATCAGGGGGTAAGTAGATTTGTACCCCACGTAGTGATGTAAAATACCTGGGTATTTAAAACTCGGGGTAAATACCCTGGGTATTTACCCGGGTAAATACCCATAATCCAGAAATACCCGGGTATTTTGGGTATTTATGAAATCGATTGAAATTAATTCATATTTACCCCTAAATATTGTTGTTATCATTACATGATAAATTAGGATAGTCTATAACACCTTTTACAGTAACTTGAAGCTTTGCTAGTACCTTTTATTGAATGATTTAGCACTTTTTTGTTATGAAATCAAGACAACACCTCATCAGAGAAATAGTGAACCTAAACCTACTTCTACTGTTATTAAATTATGATAGTTAAAATTTGTATTGTGTAAATGGCTTGGAAGGCTAGACAGACCCAAAGCCTGATTTATATAGGCAGAATGGCAGAATACTGAAAGTACAGTAGACTCCGTCTCATCCGGACTCCTTGGGACCGAGGCTAGTCCGGATAACGGGTTTTCCGGTTAAACCGATGTCCTCAAAAATTTTTTGTATCACAAGTTTATGAAATTAGTTTTTTTTATACCATTGATACCAACAAAAGATCTAGAACAAAAATATTATTAAATCCTGCCATCCTACAGTTTGAATTTTAATTATTTTCTTAAGTTGTTTACACATAGGCCACTACTAGGTTAAATTTTCCTGTTATTCTAAATAATAACTATTACTTTTTTTACTTTACAAATTATTTTTCTTCACTTTTAATCAAATAAATTCATCTATCATTGAAAAAAAAAATTATAAGTAGTCAGGACCAGTGCAACCATGCGACCAGGGTATTTATGCTTTATGCTCAGACCTGGGTATTTATGGCGATTATACCGAGAAGTAAAATACTAGTAGTGTCCATATGAAATTTTGTTTAACACATTTTATTATCATTTTACTATCCTTACAGGGTAATAATTGCAAAAAAACATCTCAATCTTCTCTAACTTGAATACAAATTATAAATACCCAGTTTTTGGGTATTTACCCGGGCCTGGGGTAAATACCCAGGTAAATACCCAATTTATATTTACCTACCCACTGGGTATTTACCCAGTGGATTTTATCCCAGTTTTTGTTGTAGTAACATCGTTTGTTGGTAGTAAAACAGAGTCATGACATGACACTTTTTCACGCAAATTTGTTTGGACACAAAAACGGGGCGATGTCTACTTGTACCGGCGTCTAGTTGTACCTGCTGCATTTTGGTGACAGGCGTCTAGTTGTACCTCGTCCAAAGCTGTAGGTACAACTTGATGATGGTGCGGACGTCTATTTGTACCTACGTCTAGTTGTCTCTACGTCTAGTTGTACCTCTTAAAAATATGCAGGTACAACTAGTCGGGTACGCCACCGTCTACTTGTACCTCATACGTCTGCGTCTATTTGTACCTACGACTAGTTGTACCTACGACTACTTGTACCTACAACTAGTTGTACCTACGCCTACTTGTTCCTACGTCTAGTTGTACCTACGGCTAGTTGTACCTACGGCTAGTTGTATCTCCCCTTCAACTTGTCACCAGTTTAAGGGATTTATTTCATTTCTTTAAAAATCTTACAATCTTACAATACAATACATGACAAATAAGTTTATTTCACACTTAACTACTAACTTTTCTCAAAAACACATCTTAATTACCTTCTACGCAAACGTAATGAAAGCTCACTATTGAAATACTATTGCAAAAATAACCCAGGTATGACTTTTTTGCACGCGCTTATTAGTTCTTAGTAAAACTAATCTTGGTTTAGTTGCAGACTACATAGCCAGTGTACACAAACCTAGCTCAGTATCAACTTTAGTTTATATAGTTTAACTAGCTTCTCTAGTTTGTTTGAAATGGAAAAAATTCCAATCACATGTATTATTTACAGTGTGTGTTAAATAGAGAAGTCTGTACATTGCATATTGTTAATCGAGTTTTCAACTACTGGACCTCAACTTCATTGTACACTTCATTGTTCATTGTTCACTGGGAAATCCATTGTAAACCAAAAGAAATGCACACTAATCAATGCAAATACTTTAAGGTTACCGGTATGTGAAAAAATATCTAAAGGAATCAGCAAAAATAGTAATACATAAATGCTAGGCAGCGGTCTATTGCAATTCATTAAGGATATACTGCTTGTATATTTAATAATATAATATAAATGTTTTAATTAAATAAGCGATTTTCGGTACTAGGACTGGAAAAATTTAATTACAACTATAGCTGCCATTTCGACCCAGGACAGCAATGAGTAGCTTTCAGCCTCCAATTAACGTCTGTAAAACTACTAATACATCGTAGTGCGGTGAAAAATATTTGCCAATCATACTCAATTGACTCGGAACACTGCAGTTTCTGATTTAATTAAGGGTATTATTAAAAAGTACTCAATCAGTAATCAATTAAACAGGGTAACGAATTGAAGGATAGATACAACTAGACTATAAGGACGCAAAATACGCGTAGGTACAACTAGACGTGGGTACAACTAGACTTAGGGACCACTAGTCGTAGGGACCACTAGTCGTAGGGACAACTGGTCGCATCCGTACAAGCTAGGTGATACTCCTTGTCGGTGGGATACACATCTTGTTGTACCTACATCCACTTGTACCTACGTCTAGTTGTACCTCCTAAAAATCTGCAGGTAAAACTAGTCGGGTGTGCCACCGTCTACTTGTACCTACGTCTACATACATAGGTACGTCTTGTACCTAGGCCTCGAGGTACAAGTAGACGTAGGTACAACTAGACGGCGGGACAACGAGACGCGGTCCCCACAAAAACAAAACACGGATGATGATAACAAAAAGTGTGTGAAATGTTTCTTGATTGTGTTTTACTAATATTTCAACCTGTGTAAAAACTGTTTATAAACTCAAATGTATTATTGTTTCAGGTATTATTTCCCGCAAACCCCGGTTGAGGAAATATCTTCAAATCGATCTTCTATGGAATCTGCATCCGGAGGGACAGCCAACAATGACACGAACAGGGAAGGAGAAAACACAGATGTTACAACCAATGTTAACAGCTCAAGCACAGAGGAAAATAAAGAGAGCCCAGCGCAAAATGAGGGAAATACAACAGCTGATAAGAAAAAGCCCAAAAATCCTCACACTCCAGATGAAAATGTTTTGGTCCATTTGCTCGAGATGTGCCGAGTGTTTGATTTGTCGGACGAAATGGGAAGGTTGGTATTGATTTAATCTGCAGATTTTTCGAACATGGGCCCTAATAAAAAATAATTTTTCACATTAAAGAGAGGTAGGTGAAAGGGTTTATTGTAATACATACATGCATGTTGATACTATGCCTCTTAATCTTCTATTCTTTCACAGTTCCTCTTTTTCCACCCTCTGCCATATCGCGCCTCTATTCTGGTTGAATAATGTAGCATTTTAGGTTTGAGTTTAAAACTATAATCTGTGTGAAACCTTAGCTGTTGATTGTTACAACCATAATGTTCCCTAATGTTGTATGCCCTTCCAGTCTTTAGGAGTACATTTTGTTCCACAGCCCAACTTCAAGCTACAAAATACTGCTCAGGTTGTAAAAAGTTCAAATAAATCACCCAGTTTAGGGTATTCGTAAAACTACTTCCTAAGGGTTCTGTTACGCTCAGTCTGTTCAAGTCACTGAATCCTTCAACTTGGTGCTACTTTAATGAGAGTAATGCTGCATACTCTATCTGGGATTAGGGAACACCTAACTCGACTGATTTAAGGTAGACCTGTAGTGGGGAAAAATTATGTTTCTTAATTAGGTCCTGAGATATAGGCTGCCTTTAAGACCTGTGTAACCAGGTCTAACCACTAAGGCGGTGGTTTGGCAATTTTAGCCAAAGCCTCAGATGCTCAGTTATGTAAAGAAAGATGCTCAGTTTTCATAATATAAGAGATCTGAGTTGTAACAAGTTGTTTGAATGCTTTAGCTTAGTTTTGAAACTTTGCCTACAGTGTGTATGCATTTTGTTACACAGAACAAGTCTCAAACAGTTGTGTAAAGATCTACTAGAGAGCACCTCAGTGACGTTGGTCAGTGTACCTACATTGTCTCGTCTGCTAGATCACATAGTCCCCTCTGCTACAGTGTGTATACATTGTGTTACAGGACAAGTCTCAAACAGTTGTGTAAAGATCTGCTAGAGAGCACCTCAGTGACGTTGGTCAGTGTACCTACATTGTCTCGTCTGCTAGATCACATAGTCCCCTCTGCTACAGTGTGTATACATTGTGTTACAGGACAAGTCTCAAACAGTTGTGTAAAGATCTACTAGAGAGCACCTCAGTGACGTTGGTCAGTGTACCTACATTGTCTCGTCTGCTAGATCACATAGTCCCCTCTGCTACAGTGTGTATACATTGTGTTACAGGACAAGTCTCAAACAGTTGTGTAAAGATCTACTAGAGAGCACCTCAGTGACGTTGGTCAGTGTACCTACATTGTCTCGTCTGCTAGATCACATAGTCCCCTCTGCTACAGTGTGTATACATTGTGTTACAGGACAAGTCTCAAACAGTTGTGTAAAGATCTACTAGAGAGCACCTCAGTGACATTGGTCAGTGTACCTACATTGTCTCGTCTGCTAGATCACATAGTCCCCTCTGCTACAGTGTGTATACATTGTGTTACAGAATAAGTCTCAAACAGTTGTGTAAAGATCTACTAGAGAGCACCTCAGTGACGTTGGTCAGTGTACCTACATTGTCTCGTCTGCTAGATCACATAGTCCCCTCTGCTACAGTGTGTATACATTGTGTTACAGGACAAGTCTCAAACAGTTGTGTAAAGATCTACTAGAGAGCACCTCAGTGACATTGGTCAGTGTACCTACATTGTCTCGTCTGCTAGATCACATAGTCCCCTCTGCTACAGTGTGTATACATTGTGTTACAGGACAAGTCTCAAACAGTTGTGTAAAGATCTACTAGAGAGCACCTCAGTGACATTGGTCAGTGTACCTACATTGTCTCGTCTGCTAGATCACATAGTCCCCTCTGCTACAGTGTGTATACATTGTGTTACAGGACAAGTCTCAAACAGTTGTGTCAAGTCTCAAACAGTTGTGTAAAGATCTGCTAGAGAGCACCTCAGTGACGTTGGTCAGTGTACCTACATTGTCTCGTCTGCTAGATCACATAGTCCCCTCTGCTACAGTGTGTATACATTGTGTTACAGGACAAGTCTCAAACAGTTGTGTAAAGATCTACTAAGGAGCACCTCAGTGACGTTGGTCAGTGTACCTACATTGTCTCGTCTGCTAGATCACATAGTCCCCTCTGCTACAGTGTGTATACATTGTGTTACAGGACAAGTCTCAAACAGTTGTGTAAAGATCTACTAGAGAGCACCTCAGTGACATTGGTCAGTGTACCTACATTGTCTCGTCTGCTAGATCACATAGTCCCCTCTCCTACAGTGTGTATACATTGTGTTACAGGACAAGTCTCAAACAGTTGTGTAAAGATCTACTAGAGAGCACCTCAGTGACATTGGTCAGTGTACCTACATTGTCTCGTCTGCTAGATCACATAGTCCCCTCTGCTACAGTGTGTATACATTGTGTTACAGGACAAGTCTCAAACAGTTGTGTAAAGATCTACTAGAGAGCACCTCAGTGACATTGGTCAGTGTACCTACATTGTCTCGTCTGCTAGATCACATAGTCCCCTCTGCTACAGTGTGTATACATTGTGTTACAGGACAAGTCTCAAACAGTTGTGTAAAGATCTACTAGAGAGCACCTCAGTGACATTGGTCAGTGTACCTACATTGTCTCGTCTGCTAGATCACATAGTCCCCTCTGCTACAGTGTGTATACATTGTGTTACAGGACAAGTCTCAAACAGTTGTGTAAAGATCTGCTAGAGAGCACCTCAGAGACGTTGGTCAGTGTACCTACATTGTCTCGTCTGCTAGATCACATAGTCCCCTCTGCTACAGTGTGTATACATTGTGTTACAGGACAAGTCTCAAACAGTTGTGTAAAGATCTGCTAGAGAGCACCTCAGTGACGTTGGTCAGTGTACCTACATTGTCTCGTCTGCTAGATCACATAGTCCCCTCTGCTACAGTGTGTATACATTGTGTTACAGGACAAGTCTCAAACAGTTGTGTAAAGATCTACTAGAGAGCACCTCAGTGACGTTGGTCAGTGTACCTACATTGTCTCGTCTGCTAGATCACATAGTCCCCTCTGCTACAGTGTGTATACATTGTGTTACAGGACAAGTCTCAAACAGTTGTGTAAAGATCTACTAGAGAGCACCTCAGTGACGTTGGTCAGTGTACCTACATTGTCTCGTCTGCTAGATCACATAGTCCCCTCTGCTACAGTGTGTATACATTGTGTTACAGGACAAATCTCAAACAGTTGTGTAAAGATCTACTAGAGAGCACCTCAGTGACATTGGTCAGTGTACCTACATTGTCTCGTCTGCTGGATCACATAGTCCCCTCTGCTACAGTGTGTATACATTGTGTTACAGGACAAGTCTCAAACAGTTGTGTAAAGATCTACTAGAGAGCACCTCAGTGACGCTGGTCAGTGTACCTACATTGTCTCGTCTGCTAGATCACATAGTCCCCTCTGCTACAGTGTGTATACATTGTGTTACAGGACAAGTCTCAAACAGTTGTGTAAAGATCTACTAGAGAGCACCTCAGTGACATTGGTCAGTGTACCTACATTGTCTCGTCTGCTAGATCACATAGTCCCCTCTGCTACAGTGTGTATACATTGTGTTACAGGACAAGTCTCAAACAGTTGTGTAAAGATCTGCTAGAGAGCACCTCAGTGACATTGGTCAGTGTACCTACATTGTCTCGTCTGCTAGATCACATAGTCCCCTCTGCTACAGTGTGTATACATTGTGTTACAGGACAAGTCTCAAACAGTTGTGTAAAGATCTACTAGAGAGCACCTCAGTGACATTGGTCAGTGTACCTACATTGTCTCGTCTGCTAGATCACATAGTCCCCTCTGCTACAGTGTGTATACATTGTGTTACAGGACAAGTCTCAAATAGTTGTGTAAAGATCTACTAGAGAGCACCTCAGTGACGCTGGTCAGTGTACCTACATTGTCTCGTCTGCTAGATCACATAGTCCCCTCTGCTACAGTGTGTATACATTATGTTACAGGACAAGTCTCAAACAGTTGTGTAAAGATCTACTAGAGAGCACCTCAGTGACGTTGGTCAGTGTACCTACATTGTCTCGTCTGCTAGATCACATAGTCCCCTCTGCTACAGTGTGTATACATTGTGTTACAGGACAAGTCTCAAACAGTTGTGTAAAGATCTACTAGAGAGCACCTCAGTGACGTTGGTCAGTGTACCTACATTGTCTCGTCTGCTGGATCACATAGTCCCCTCTGCTACAGTGTGTATACATTGTGTTACAGGACAAGTCTCAAACAGTTGTGTAAAGATCTGCTAGAGAGCACCTCAGTGACGTTGGTCAGTGTACCTACATTGTCTCGTCTGCTAGATCACATAGTCCCCTCTGCTACAGTGTGTATACATTGTGTTACAGGACAAATCTCAAACAGTTGTGTAAAGATCTACTAGAGAGCACCTCAGTGACATTGGTCAGTGTACCTACATTGTCTCGTCTGCTGGATCACATAGTCCCCTCTGCTACAGTGTGTATACATTGTGTTACAGGACAAGTCTCAAACAGTTGTGTAAAGATCTACTAGAGAGCACCTCAGTGACATTGGTCAGTGTACCTACATTGTCTCGTCTGCTGGATCACATAGTCCCCTCTGCTACATTGTGTATACATTGTGTTACAGGACAAGTCTCAAACAGTTGTGTAAAGATCTGCTAGAGAGCACCTCAGTGACTTTGGTCAGTGTACCTACATTGTCTCGTCTGCTAGATCACATAGTCCCCTCTGCTACAGTGTGTATACATTGTGTTACAGGACAAGTCTCAAACAGTTGTGTTAAGATCTACTAGAGAGCACCTCAGTGACATTGGTCAGTGTACCTACATTGTCTCGTCTGCTGGATCACATAGTCCCCTCTGCTACAGTGTGTATACATTGTGTTACAGGACAAGTCTCAAACAGTTGTGTAAAGATCTGCTAGAGAGCACCTCAGTGACGTTGGTCAGTGTACCTACATTGTCTCGTCTGCTAGATCACATAGTCCCCTCTGCTACAGTGTGTATACATTGTGTTACAGGACAAGTCTCAAACAGTTGTGTAAAGATATACTAGAGAGCACCTCGGTGACATTGGTCAGTGTACCTACATTGTCTCGTCTGCTGGATCACATAGTCCCCTCTGCTACAGTGTGTATACATTGTGTTACAGGACAAGTCTCAAACAGTTGTGTAAAGATATACTAGAGAGCACCTCGGTGACATTGGTCAGTGTACCTACATTGTCTCGTCTGCTAGATCACATAGTCCCCTCTGCTACAGTGTGTATACATTGTGTTACAGGACAAGTCTCAAACAGTTGTGTAAAGATCTACTAGAGAGCACCTCAGTGACATTGGTCAGTGTACCTACATTGTCTCGTCTGCTGGATCACATAGTCCCCTCTGCTACAGTGTGTATACATTGTGTTACAGGACAAGTCTCAAACAGTTGTGTAAAGATCTACTAGAGAGCACCTCAGTGACGCTGGTCAGTGTACCTACATTGTCTCGTCTGCTAGATCACATAGTCCCCTCTGCTACAGTGTGTATACATTGTGTTACAGGACAAGTCTCAAACAGTTGTGTAAAGATCTACTAGAGAGCACCTCAGTGACATTGGTCAGTGTACCTACATTGTCTCGTCTGCTAGATCACATAGTCCCCTCTGCTACAGTGTGTATACATTGTGTTACAGGACAAGTCTCAAACAGTTGTGTAAAGATCTACTAGAGAGCACCTCAGTGACGCTGGTCAGTGTACCTACATTGTCTCGTCTGCTAGATCACATAGTCCCCTCTGCTACAGTGTGTATACATTGTGTTACAGGAGAAGTCACAAACAGTTGTGTAAAGATCTACTAGAGAGCACCTCAGTGACATTGGTCAGTGTACCTACATTGTCTCGTCTGCTAGATCACATAGTCCCCTCTCCTACAGTGTGTATACATTGTGTTACAGAATAAGTCTCAAACAGTTGTGTAAAGATCTACTAGAGAGCACCTCAGTGACGTTGGTCAGTGTACCTACATTGTCTCGTCTGCTAAATCACATAGTCCCCTCTCCTACAGTGTGTATACATTGTGTTACAGAATAAGTCTCAAACAGTTGTGTAAAGATATACTAGAGAGCACCTCAGTGACATTGGTCAGTGTACCTACATTGTCTCGTCTGCTAGATCACATAGTCCCCTCTGCTACAGTGTGTATACATTGTGTTACAGGAGAAGTCTCAAACAGTTGTGTAAAGATCTACTAGAGAGCACCTCAGTGACATTGGTCAGTGTACCTACATTGTCTCGTCTGCTAGATCACATAGTCCCCTCTGCTACAGTGTGTATACATTGTGTTACAGGACAAGTCTCAAACAGTTGTGTAAAGATCTACTAGAGAGCACCTCAGTGACATTGGTCAGTGTACCTACATTGTCTCGTCTGCTAGATCACATAGTCCCCTCTCCTACAGTGTGTATACATTGTGTTACAGAACAAGTCTCAAACAGCTGTGTAAAGATCTACTAGAGAGCACCTCAGTGACGTTGGTCAGTGTACCTACATTGTCTCGTCTGCTAGATCACATAGTCCCCTCTCCTACCGCTAAGCTGAGTGCTATTGCTGAGATCATTACAGAGCTTAGAGAGCCACTGATGGCCTGTAATGCATCTGTATACGTTCCTGATCTTATTTTGATAGAGGCCGAGGAGAAGGTAATTTTTTCAGTTTATCTTGTCTGTTGTCGTTCATCTATATAGCCTAAGTGTTTTTTCCTTCTTTCAGTTTATGTTCACCTGTCATTTATTTAATAGACATTTTCAGGAAGTAGATACTGAATCGGTACATTAAAATGTATGTTTTCACACAAGTTAGATGTTACAATAATGAAAAAAAAACACAAAAAACAGCTATTAATTTATTTAGTATTTCTGCTAAGCCTGGAAACTTTAAACATTTTTTGTAAATTCCATTTTCAGAATATGTTCTTATATTAGGACAAAGTGTCTAATGTCATGTTGTGTGACCTTTTATCGATTCATCACCAGGATTCCTTTGAAATATAATAACAAAAGAGTTAATTTTATAGGTAAATGTCTACCGACTTCCTGAACAATTTTGTAATTTCTTTTAAATTAAATTAGTATAGATTATTTTATGTGGATTATAATAGGGTTCCTGACAATTATAACATTACATCAACAAATTCATAATCTATATTGATGATAAATACTGTTTAAAGTCTCTTATCTACAATCTCTTACAGAAAAGCGAACTTGAGGACAGGATCAATGAACTGAAGAGCGAAATGGAAATCGCCGAAGAACTGGGAGATGTCGAGAGAATGGAAGAGATAAAAGGAACAATCAAAGGTCTACAAGAGGAGTTGAAAATACTAAACACAGTAACTCCTCATGAGGTAGGGGAAGAGTTTGGTTATTGTCTGCAAGTTTTGAATTGAAATCTATAATATTAAAACGTAACAGGGGTTTTTTATTTCACGATTCTGAATCAACCACTTGACGGATTTTCATGATTTTTGTGTTGAAAGAAAGATAATTTAAAGATAAACTAGGGAATGTCGAAGCCATGATTTTAGTTTAGGGTCCCAGTTTTTTAGAAATTGAAGTTTTAATTTTTTTAAAGCCTAGCAGCCGACGCTAACATTTTGAATAGTGATGGGCGGATCCAAGAAAATGTCGGTTCCGGATCTTCGGATCCGGATCCAGATACACACTGTCATAAGGGCGGGTTAAAAAAAAAACGTAATTAACAGAATGCCAATTTAAATCATACTTTTATTATTTTTTATCACGAAGCATCGGGTGAGATTAAAATACTAACGGGATATTTTTGAGACGAAATTATAGGCCGTTAGCTTATCATCCGGGTACAAAACTAATACCCCCGCCGCAGCAAACCTGCAGACTAAGCGAATTTCCATTTGACTGATTGGATTTACACTGAAATGTCTACTTAAAAATATAACATTTATTCTTGATTTAAATAGAATAAGTTTAACAAGTACTTAGGTTTGCTGCATCAGGGAGGGTAAAACTGATTTTTTTTGTAAAATGTGAATAGTTAGTAAGAAATAAAAACATTTTCCAAATTTGATCAAAATATGTTCACAAACAAGCAAACTACAACAGTTTACTTATTCTCCATAAGAATAACATGGGAATTTTAAATTTACAATTTTTTGGAATTTTCTCCGTAACCATTAGGCGCATAATAACGCTTCAATATACTAAATTATTTGTTTTTTTAAGCTCTACAAAATGGTTTGGAAAGAAATTGCTAAATTTTATGTTTTTTGGGTCAAAAATTAGAAAAACCTATTTTTACCCCATAAAACCCCCCGTAAACCCCCGTTCCCATGGTCCGATCATGCTGGATTGCGAACTCGTTCGAATAAACGTACTTTTACACGTTTGTACCAATTTTCATCAAAATCGGATCATTTTTGCTCGAGTTATCGTGCTGACGGACACATATATATATATATATATAAATATATAAATATATAAATATATATATATATATGAATTTGAACGGATGGTGTTTTTGGCCTCTAGGGACCTCAAAACGAAAAAAAAAATCGGTCCCGCGTCCAGGTCTTACCATGAGTACTACGGTAATAGCTTATTCCCTATATGGGAAATTCGCTAAAAACTAGAGGTGTGAAGTTATCCGAAAAATGGGTCGGATTCAGTTCGGAAAGATACACGCCATTGCCATATATGATATTTATTTGTATAAAGAGACAAACACTGAAACATGGCCTTGCCATATAAGTTATTTGCACCAGTTATTTGCATCAAGAGACAAATACTGAGTCATGGCCTTGCCATATAAGTTATTTGCATCAAAAGACAAACACTGAGTCATGGCCTTGCCATATAAGTTATTTGCATCAAAAGACAAACACTGAGACATGGCCTTGCCATATAAGTTGTTTGCATCAAGAGACAAACACTCGGGGGAAAAACGGTCTTGTACATGGATACAGACAGCTTTGTGTTAGTAAAAAAATCAGGAAAAAATCGGGGTTGTACAGTGATACAGACATATTTGTGTTGGTAAAAAATCGGGGTTGTACAGTGATACAGACAGCTTTTTTTCTTAGTAAAAAATCGGGGTTGTACAGTGATACAGACAGCTTTTTGTGTTAGTAGAAAATCGGGGTTGTACAGTGATACAGACAGCTTTGTGTTAGTAAAAAAAATTGGTGTACAGTGATACAGACAGCTTTGTGTTGGTAAAAAATCGGGGTTGTACAGTGATACAGACAGCTTTTTGTGTTAGTAGAAAATCGGGGTTGTACAGTGATACAGACAGCTTTGTGTTAGTACAAAAATCGGTGTTGTACAGTGATACAGACAGCTTTGTGTTTGTTTAGTAAACAAATCGGTGTTGTACAGTGATACAGACAGCTTTGTGCTAGTAAAAACATTCGGGGTTGTACAGTGATACAGACAGCTTTGTGTTGGTAAAAAATCGGGGTTGTACAGTGATACAGACAGCTTTTTGTGTTAGTATAAAATCGGTGTTGTACAGTGATACAGACAGCTTTGTGTTGGTAAAAACTCGGGGTTGCACAGTGATACAGACAGCTTTTTTTCTTAGTAAAAAATCGGGGTTGTACAGTGATACAGACAGCTTTTTGTGTTAGTAGAAAATCGGGGTTGTACAGTGATACAGACAGCTTTGTGTTAGTAAAAAAAATTGGTGTACAGTGATACAGACAGCTTTGTGTTGGTAAAAAATCGGGGTTGTACAGTGATACAGACAGCTTTTTGTGTTAGTAGAAAATCGGGGTTGTACAGTGATACAGACAGCTTTGTGTTAGTAAAAAATTCGGTGTTGTACAGTGATACAGACAGCTTTGTGTTTGTTTAGTAAACAAATCGGTGTTGTACAGTGATACAGACAGCTTTGTGCTAGTAAAAACATTCGGGGTTGTACAGTGATACAGACAGCTTTGTGTTGGTAAAAACTCGGGGTTGCACAGTGATACAGACAGCTTTTTGTCTTAGTAAAAAATCGGGGTTGTACAGTGATACAGACAGCTTTGTGTTGGTAAAAACTCGGGGTTGCACAGTGATACAGACAGCTTTTTGTCTTAGTAAAAAATCGGGGTTGTACAGTGATACAGACAGCTTTTTGTGTTAGTAGAAAATCGGGGTTGTACAGTGATACAGACAGCTTTGTGTTAGTAAAAAAATCGGTGTTGTACAGTGATACAGACAGCTTTGTGTTTGTTTAGTAAACAAATCGGGTTTGTACAGTGATACAGACAGCTTTGTGTTTGTTTAGTAAACAAATCGGGTTTGTACAGTGATACAGACAGCTTTGTGCTAGTAAAAACATTCGGGGTTGTAGAGTGATACAGACAGCTTTGTGTTAGTAAAAAAATCGGTGTTGTACAGTGATACAGACAGCTTTGTGTTGGTAAAAAAATCTGGGTTGTACAGTGATACAGACAGCTTTGTGTTAGGAAAAAATCGGGAAAAAATTTGAAAGAAACGGATCCATCAAAACCGGATTCAGCCCAAGATCCGGAATTTTTTGGATCCGATCCGGTGCCGGTTCTAGCTCGGATCTGGCGGATCCGGTAGTCCGATATCCGGATCCGACCATCACTAATTTTGAACTAGCTTTTGGTGTGATATAATTTGCTTAACAGCTGTAAACATTCAGCGTTTTAGACACAAATTTAGCATTTGGATGAAAATGAAACGACATGCGTAGAATTGACTTATTTATACTATGTGTAATGCTATAATCATTGATACGTCCATTTATTCGGTAAGAGGATGAGAGTTTATTTAAATATACATAGTAAAATACTAGATGTTCTCATTTATTTTTTGAGCAGTCAATTAAAACACAATTAAAACAAACACAACATGAACATAAAAACTACGTACACACAAACATTTAAATAGTGCTAAATGTTTATCTATACGTATGGTACAAACTGGTTTTTGTCAGCAACAAAGCTTTATAATACGATACATAAATGCACTGTTTCATCCATAATTTGTTTGGAACACACCTTGATTGGGGGAGTGCCAGGATTGCAACAAGCCAATTGGTTCTAGTCGTTTTTACAAAATCGTTTAATGCTGTAAGATAAAATAACTTTTTGTATTTTGTTACTTTCCAGCCTGGAAGAAACATCAACAATGATCCAGAAACTCTGAAAAAGTGTTTGACCATCCTTGTTGAGATCATGAAGCAAGGAAAGATCAGGAAGTTGGATCCAACTCTGCTCAGCTTGATGCAGAACTTCATAGTACCAACTCTAAACCTCAGGGTAAGAGAAGTTGTTCAGCTAAAAGTTTAACTATTTTAGAAATTTTGTTGTCGCTTTTACACCTTAATTACTGATACTAAACACAAATCATCTGCCACTTATCCCATGTTTTTGGTATCATACAAAGATTACATTTGAGAATTTTGTGATGAATAGGATGAACAGCAGACTTAAAATCCTACTAATGAACATAGGGTGGCAAAGAATGAAATATGAGGTAAATAACTCGAAGGACCAGAACTAAGGGGACAACAGCGTTACTAGCAGCATCATGGCATCGGGAGTCCTAGACCGATGGCTTCTTTCTTGAAAACTATTGTAAATGCATCACACCCAAGTTCATGGATGAGATCAGATTATTTTGCTGAAGTTTTTTAGACTATCGACTCCAAATTCTTTCTTTAGGTAGTCTTGTAAGAAAACCTAATTAAATTACCCGAGCTGCTGTGATCGTAAAATGTCACAGCCTCCTGATTAAGACAACCAATTTATATTGCTGTAAATACTTCTTACTGGTTATAAAACGTTAAGACTCAAAAAGTCAGGAAAATGGTTTTACCATGAGGTATTTTGGCTATAATTCTAAATATTACAATTTTTTCCCTTAATTTTTTTGTTTTATACTAGGGCTTGAATTTTCCCACACAAGGGTTCTGCGTCACATTTAATATCCGTCTTTTCTTTTTCAAAAGGTTTACAGATTTACAATTGTTTTAGTGGTAGTGTGGAACAATTTAATAGGTGGTTCACATTTTTAAAGTTTTGGGCAGTGTTTAAAACGTTGAAAAGTTGTAATCTTATAATTGAAATCTTGTGTGTGCTTGTTGTGTTGACATTATTAAGGGCTAATTCCTACCCGATTTAAATGGTTGTAATTACATAATCTAAGATGATGTATCAATTCAATTATCAATTATTTAAGATGGGGACGCCACTATGTGCGTATTTTAACCCAAATATGAGTGAAGGATGAGTGTGGGATGAGTGGCGCGATCTTGTAGTCTTGTTAGTGACTAAGGCCGTCATGTTCCTTAGACACAGCTGTTAATTAATAGCCCAAACAGCTAATGGCAACTAAGGGACCTACAGTTTAGAGTGGAATCCGAACCACATTCTTTCCTTGGTAGTTAACGAATTGGTCTAATCATCAGGATAGTAGTGCGAACGTTAATCCACACCAGAGAGTATCGCATCCACAGTGCATGCCTATAAATATCCACAATTCGTGACCTCCTAGTAGCTGGATTATGTTATTACTTGTAATAATTACAATGTAATTACAACCATTAGCATGGCGGTTTGAGAGATTACAGAGATATTTTACCAACGGTCGGTAAACATTAACGTAAAAGTCAGTAGTTATTTATGGCACAAAACTGAACCCAGTTGTCTTTGATTTTTCAATTATTTAACAGCTTTGCTTAACAGCATGGCCACAGACTGGGAATCCCAGGAAAACTGGGAATTAATCGTGAATTTGTGTATCGGGAAATATGAAAAAATGTTTTTCCAGGAGTTTTGTGGCCTGCTTAAGAATCAGCTGATTTTAGCCAGTAAGAAAGCTACTACACAATGTTAACTTCATCTTTTAAACTCTGCTTAAATTTTGTCGTGTTTTGATAGAAAATTCATCAATGTACCATTTATTCATTATCACTAATGTGTCATTCTTCTAATTTTTTTAACTGACCTTTAATTGTTTATTATCTTGTTGCCAGACCTGGTCTCCTTATATTCATTTTATCCGGGCGAGAGAGGAACGTTTACGTGAGGTAATTTCAAAAAAATTATATTTATTCGTCTTTCGTTTGAAAAAAAAATCTATTTTTCTTAAATTCTAACTAAAATTTTAACAGAGATATTGTGTGTTTCTATTCTGCTTTAAATGGCTTTAAAATATTTGTTCTTTGCTTTACATTAGTACTTCCATGGTATATAATCGTTGTCTATTTTATACTTGTCAGTTTTATCGTAGGGATCTACAAAGACGTGTATTAGTGATGTGTTGAAGCAAAATCTCAAAGTCAAAGAAAAAATCAATTTCATATTTCATTTAAAAAATTAATCAGCTATTCAAGAATTTAATCTCATATTTTTAAATACCCACCCTGGGCCTGTGCTATCACAATATATTTGATCCTTTAAGTCAGTTAACATAAAATTAAATTTGAATTTAAGGGTGTTCAATTTCTTAAGATTTCAGAATCTTGGGCGGAGGGGGATTTTAATAATTTATGGGTTTTTGGTCAGGAAGCTTATGATTACGACTGGTGGAAAATGTTTACAAATGTGACTGTGATTGTTGAAGATGATCACGGATGTTGCAGTGATTGTGGATGATATTGACATTGCTACAGTTCTGTCTGACCTTAGCAGTTTTTCAAATGAATAAGTTTCAGAATTGGTTAAAATTGAAGTAAAAAATATTGAGAATTTATTTCACAGTAGATTGTAGTCTGTATTATGTAATTTATACAAATTTTTCTCAGATCCAAGATTTGGGCCAATATTTTTTGGGATTTGTATATGAAATCACTGTGTGTTACTTTGAAGTTTCAATTACTGTTATTTTTATTTTAATATCTGTAGTTTATGATTAATGTACTTTTGACTTAGTCATTTAACTACACCTAATGCTAACTCTCCTAATTCATTCGCTTTCATTAGGATTCCATTCACTTAACTTTGGAAAATTTCAAATTTAAATGTGTTTTTTTTTCTCTCACTGTTGACTACATGGTGCCTTATTGTGTTCATCGTCATAGTTATTTTTTTTTACTAGTTACATTAAAACAATGGTTTTGTTTCAATGGTTCATCTAGTTTGTTCAGTGGTTATAAATGTTCCAATTTCTTTGTCAGGAGTTTGTCACGTTGAACATTCTGGAGCTGTCCAACATATTCTTATACTTTTATGTTTACACAATTTCAATCAAATGAACCATTGACCAATTACTTTAGATTCAATTTAAATTTGATTCAAACTGTAGTTTAAATAGTTAAAAACAACAGATTTTCTCTCAAGTATACAACAGATGGATTGGCTAATTATTTGCTATCCCATCTATAATATTAAAACGAAAGTGTGTTTTTTTATTTCACGATTCTGAATCAACCACTCGACGGATTTTCATGATTTTTGTGTTGAAAGAAAGATAATTTTGAGAACTAGGGAATGTCGAAGCCATAATTTTAGTTTAGGGTCCCAGTTTTTTAGAAATTAAGTTTTAATTTTTAAAAAGTCTAGCAGCCGACGCTAAGATTCTAAACTAGCTTTTGGCATAAAATAATTTGCTTAACATAACAGCTGTAAACATTCAGCTTTTGTGTCACAAATTCAGCATTTGGATAAAAATGTAAAGACATACTTAGGGTTGACTTATTTATACTATGTGTAATGCTAATCATTGATACGTTCAATTCTTCTGTAGAGGATGGCAGATTAATTAAATATACATAGTAAAATACTAGGATATTCAAATTATTTTTTAAAGCAATCTTTGTAATCTTTGATTTGTTTTAGAGCAATATAATTTGTTTTAACTAACAGCTGGTTAAATATAAACTATGGAACTATGAGGTTATTTTATTTTTGTCATTGATTATAGGAAATAAGTAAGACCACAGTTTAAAACAATATTAATTAAACCACAGTACAAATCGAGGCTCTGTACACGAGTCTTAATAAAAAAGGATAAATGCAAATTATTTTACTGCTCCACTTTTCAAGGAAAGATTAGAAAAATAACAATGTTTACATGTTTTAATTCTTCATGGTAGCTTTTTGTTTACAATTAATGTTCGTCTGCTTTAACTTTGTATGGATTAGGCCCGGAAATATTGATGTCATAAAAAGAAGATCAAGAATAATCAGGAATCACGATTTTAAATTACCATTACAACCTCAGCCGGGTTTTATACAAAGATAAACAGATGGATGACATAGATTGAACACAACGTCAACATTGACCTAGGATACTGCAATTAGACAAACCATCCTTACATAAAATCGTGTTCAGTTGTGGTTACATTGGGGGCACCTATATCAGCGCCCCCAAACGTGAAAATAATATCACTTTTATTTCAACTATGAATATATTTTAGTTTAAATTAACTAATATAGGAAATTAAGATGTACATTTATTCAATGAGGGTGTGTAATTATCAAGGATAGAACTGAAAACGGTATGGATAATAAACATTGACACTTACGTCATTTAGCTTTACTAGCGTGTTTACTTTTTATATTCCTGCTACATGTGACCAGTTCTTATTTTCAAATGAATGTTATTTGAACCAAACAGATGTTTCAAAACAAACTGTTATTGTTTTTACTTTTCTTTGTTTACGCTTATTTATTTAGCAATTAATGCAGTGAAATTGATATAAAGGATAGGTGTGACGATTAGTTTTGATGTTAGGACACCAAAGTTAAATTATGTGTACTGTGAATTTTATCGGATACTATCGTTTTATTTTAGGTCGTTTCTATTCAGACCTACTGGAAATTGTGTATAGTAGTTGTATTGTGGTGATAATAATTATGGAAGAGGCAGATATGCTATGAAAGGTGGTATCGTTGACTAGATCTATACACTTCTCAATTTTGACTATTACTCCCTCTACAATAGGCTACTTATAATCAGTGTGCGTCTGTGCGAATCGGCTGCAAATCTCACTTCAACGCTTTTCACATCGTAAAAATTGCAGAATTGCTGTTTTATTTTAAAATTAACGGATTTAAAATGCATATCGTTTAGGCCTATGATGGAATAAAAACATATTTGGTCACACAACATTTGTTTACAAGATGATTTTTTACATTAAAACTGCAAGAAACTTTGTCTTTATATGTGTAAACTAGCTGATCTGAATTGTACACGGTTTTAACTGACTACTGAATTCCCGTACGTAGGACGGGCTAACATCTCGTCTTTATGAAAATGATTCTATTTCTTTCTAATAATAAAGGTTAACTTATAAATTTATCACTAATTAAATTAAATAATTTCGCCAATCAAACTTTACATAACTATAATCTTGCAGTGTTTCGCATGCTAGAAGATGAATTTCAATAAGTATGTCTATTTACATTTTTAGTAAATTAAAAGTGAGGGTAGTTACGTTTTACAAACTATTTAAGTTTTGGTTTTATTTTTTGCAGATTGAGGGCGACGGCTCAACAGCTATCAAGAACTTGGCCATGGAAGTCCTAGCAACCTTCTGTATCCTGGACGTTGAACTTGCTAAAGAACACTTCTTCATGTTTTGTTTCAATGTGAGTCTTCCTAGTATAAGGGGAAAGTATTTTTGTGTCAAAGTTTCAGAGGTTGAATTTTGCGTGTAATAATATTCATTTTTGCCCCCCTGATGCCCAAAATAAGGGTTTTCAAAGTTATGTCTGTGTGGATGTATACAGAGCTTAATTCGGTACCTGTGGTGCTATTTTGATTAAATTTGGTATGTGGGTAGGCATACTAAATCGTTTTACCTCCAACATTTTTTATTTTTATAAAATTTGGATTTTTTAATAGTGATTTTCTTTGCCCTCTTAAAAACCCCATAAAATAGTTGAAATTATGATTCTCACAGAAACTGCTTGAACTATTTTGACTGACTTTTAGTATCTCATAGTACTTTTAACCCTGAACAAAATGGCAAAACCACAACAAAATAAGTAGGATGGTCAATTTTACTGGGAAGCTAATGGTAGAAAGTATGTGCCAGTTTATTGATACTGTTTATTTTCAAACATTAAAATATAATCGTTACAGTGAATTGTTAAATATCTAATTTTGGCCTTCAAGCAGAAAAATGCAAAAAAAACTTAAAAATCTCTGAACCACAATAAATTGGATGTAGAAAATAACCTGTCTTAATACATCACATAGAAGAACACAATTACTGTAATTAGTGGTGCATGAAGTATTCATGGAAAAATGTATATGGATAATGGAGTTCTGTAAAAGGAGTAACAGGCTATAAAGATTTTACTATTTTCTACAATCACTATAATGTTTTATTGTGTTAACATTTTTCTGTTTACTTTGATTTGCAGATTGCTACAGACTCCATGTCAGTGACGGCCCTCAAATCTGTATTTGATCTGCTGCATGTTCACGGCCTCAATACGTTCAACATCACAGATCCAGACGAGGGTGAGTATCTTGACATTTGGCAACTTTGTAAAATCAGTTGGACATATTTTAATCGTAAAACCTCTCAATAAACAACCATTTTAAAATTTGTGTGAGACCGTGCATGGCTCTGTACTTCTCCGACGTGTAGCTGCACAACAATGTAAAAAAATTAAAAATATAAAAAACTCACAAAAGTTTAAGTATTTTAGTTGTTTGTTAATTGAATTTTACTTTTAAATTTCTGTTGGAGTAGTCAAATAATTTCCTAAGAGTCTATCCTTAGTTTTATTGGAATCACTAGGTGTTAAAATATTTAAGGTAGAACATTTTAAATAACTACTAGTTTGTATTGGTAATTTGAAATCTTATACTTTGTGCAAAGATAGTCCTATCTGTCACTAGTTATGTACTAAGTAGCCTACATAAGTATTGTATAACCTTAAACCTGCTTAGGCTCTAGGCACATACCTGAGCCTAATTGTCTTAATTACAGCAGTAAGCTCGTAACACATCTTTGTAGCTGAGTGAAATGTTTTACTAAAAATAGGTTTTACCTTTCGACAACAGCTCAATCAGTCCATCATCAGACATCTTCAGCTGAAGCAGCGTTGTCGCAGTAGAAACACATAACACGGACACATTTTACAATTACGAAAATACAAACATTAAATTAACAGGCCTGTTACACACATGGTACTGAATGACATGATCTGAATTGGATGCTGACTGAAAATATTTTATCTCAACAGTCCAATGTTTTTTTGGGGATGGATAGACAGACGGATTGTTATAATGACATTGATTATTATTTTAATGTGTTCCCATAGTTCATTGTTAATAGAGTTAAATGTTGTAAATAGTTTGTTTGATTTTCACAGCCAATACAGCGGAAAACGTAGAAGAAGAAACGCCAAAGAAGCCCAATCTGATCAATCTCCTTTTTTCTCTGCTTACTAGTGAGGTAGGATTTACATTATATTCAGGACAGAATATTTGAATTTGGCATTTGTAAGATTTAGTTTCTAGATAAACAATGCACAATTTCCTCAAACTCATCATTGTAAAGATTTGATTTTATGACCATATGCCAAGTAGAAGAAAAAAATTAATAATCATTTTACAGATTTTGCAGGGAGATTCTTTGTATATAGGGAAAATTAATGACGCATACTTTTTACTTTATCCCCCTATACAATATACATATCATATAGAGAATGACACGGTTTTTGTCAATATTTTCAGGTTTGAGTTTTGGATGGAAATAGCCACTTTGGCTCCCTGAACCCAAAACAGACTTTTTTAAAAAAGTGATGTCTGTGTGTGTGAATGTGTATAGAGTTACACACCACACCTGTGGTCCAAATTTGATGAAATTTGGTATGCCGCTAATCTATATTATCTACAGGAGTTTTTCATTTTTAGCATTTTTGGTTTTAATGGTGATTTTCCCATAAAATCCATAAAATAATACTTTATTTCAATTATTAAAATAAATGGCCCGAATAATTTGGATAAAAATTTGTTACATTATGATAATTTTAAATCTAAACGTATTCAAGGTATGGTAGCGATGAATACGATCGATACCCGTTAAATATAAAAACTATATAACGATAAAAAGTTTTACTATAAAAACGTTCAACCTGGTTGTATGCACTGACATATTGTGAGTCCTCTTGGGTAAAAATATTCCCGAACAGTGAACCTGCCTAAATTTTAAATTTTAGAGGAAATTTAGATAGCTGTGTATTACATTAAACGTTTTGTGTTTCAGTCGAAAGATATGAGAAGAACTGCTGTCGTAGGACTTTGTAAACTACTCTTCTTTGGCCGAATCAAGTCAGCTGAACTGGTTTCAAAACTGATACTGCTGTGGTACAACCCAGAAGTGGGTAAGTGTTCAACACTAACAACTTTTTATACTGGTGAAACAACCAAAAGAAACATTGTCACCATCAGTGTTGACATGTCATGTGGGGTAAATTGAATAAGACTGGTATTAAAATTTGGTGTAGAATTTGTGCCTCAATCTATATATAAAGCTCCAATACCACTGCCTCATTCATTCATTCATTTATTCATTCACTCGCTCATCACAAAATCTCAGAAACGATAAGACTTACGAACCTGAAACTTGGCAGGCATCTTCCTTTTGGGTAGTAAACGCTCACTAAGAAAGGATTTTACCCTCCGACCTCTGGGCTCCGCCCCAGTGGCTCTGGAGTTTCCCATGTTAACCTTATGAGAAATGGAATTAATGAATCTTAACAGCTGTTTCAATTAAACAAGTTGGTTCTGTTCTATGATGTTCAATAGCATTAAAGTTACCAACAGGATTACCAACAGGGTGCAGCACTATTATTTTTTTAATTTATGACGACAGCTAATTTGCAACGAACTTCAACCTGGAGGCGAGTTAGCGTAGCGAACGAGCTAACCTGAAGGCAAGTGAGCGCAGCGAACGAGCTCCAACCTAAAGGTGAGTGAGCGTAGCGAACTAACTTCAACCAGGACGTGATTGAGCCATGTGAACGAGATCATCTTGAAAATTAAGAAGTTAAACGGGGCAAAGCCCTCGGATTACAGCTAGTAATAACATAAATGTTAAAATTTGTCTATAAAAGAAACTCTTCAGAAAATTAAAAATCAGGGTGCTGGCATCATCCAGCTAACCAATGAAAAGAAATAATAGCGCTTAAATTGTGTTTTGAAAATATTAGGGTTTTTAACTTGTGTTGGACAGAGCAAATCTTTGTTCTGTTTGATAACATCCTCAACTACATTAAGCAAAGTTAAAGCTTTTTGAGAGGAAATAAAAAATTCTTTAACCAGGCAACGTTAGGAGACATGGCCCTTTCAAACACTCAACCTGACAACTGATAGTTTAGTTTTAACATGATTTTTTTCAGAGACGGACCCGTGGATTCGTCAGCCGCTTGGAGTGTTTTTCCGCATGTTTGCCGCAGCGTGCCCGCACGCACCTGAGTTGCTACTTCGTGCGTTCCTACCGACCGTGCGAGAGCTGTTCCACATAGAGGTCACCGACCCCATGTCCGAGGTTGTGGTTGAGAGTGTAGCCAACTTGATGGTCGACCTCACCCGTCCGGGTACTAGCAAGTACGAGAAAAAGGTTGGTGACTCGTTAATCATGTGTTACATGGTAAACTTGAGTACACAATTTGGTAATTGTATGCCCAAGGTTTGATGGCTTAGTGCCAGGATGTAGGCATATTATTAGCTTATGTATTTTTATTTTTTCCATTTGTATTGAAATTTGTCTTAACTGATATGTATGTGGATTCAAGTTCCACCCTATAAGATCCAACTTAGATGGTTTCAGTCTACCTGGTCTGCTGGTAAACATCCCTACAGTCGGATATTTCCCTTAATGCTCACACTTTCAATCCAGACCTTACAATTGATGTCTCAACCTTAGACTGTATCCCATTCAAAGCAGTGCTAACCATAGCATATCTTATGTCTCATGGTAAGACCACCTAGACCCAGGATCGCTTAAATTTCTTGTTTTGATGTCCCCAGAGGACAAAAACACCATCCATTCAAATTCATACATATTCCCTGTATGGAAAATTTGCTAAAATTGCTTAATTGACCATATTGGCTTGCCTTGTACTGCTGAAAATAAATAACTGTTGAATTTTGTTTAATGCAAATGGACTGTCTCAAATACTCTTGAGTCCTTGATGACTCTGAATCACGTTTGAAAAACCCTGTTCCCTCATTCTTCACAGTAGTGGTTGGTGGGTTTGAAATTAAATACCCTAATCTATATTTTCACTGATGAAAGCATCTCTACAATTATTATAACTTCAGCATTCACAGGTGATATTTCAAGTTACATGTGTTTCCAGGACCTACATGTCCACAATCAGCTGGCCATCAACATATGTGAGGCAGTGCTCAGCCAAGAGTTTGAGCCTATCAACGCCGCCGTGTTGGTCAAACTGCTCGGCCACCTTGATCTCAGCTATGACAACAAAACCGACATGAGCATCTTGTCCGCTCTCGCCTCACGGATGGTTGCGGTAAGCGATAACTCACTACCTTGATCGCTATAGATCTCTTAGAAACTATACCACTTGTCATCCGACATGAAAGAGGCTGGACACCTTGAATCCTACAAAGTGTCATTTGTTTGTTTAGGTATAATCTCAAAATAGTTGGATTTACATTACCTTTTATCAGTTCCAAAAAAGGGCCTATGTAAAATCATTGTAATTCTAAATTCAAAACACATTAAATAACTCTTTCTGTAATTGGCTTAGCATTATTTTCACACAGCTCCACCACGAACCCTAAAATTTAGATAAAACGACCCTGAGATAAAGACAAATTAATTAGGCTATTTCAACCAAATTTTCCTCTAAGAATTAAATTAGGCTACTGAGAAGAAAAAGCAACATATTGAACGTCTTGTAAAAACTGCCGTTTATTGCGAGACGGGTGGATACCAATAAATAAAGAATTCTTCCTACCTCCGCCGATTGCTATCAATGTTTGAAAGATCGCTCTCATTGTCTGAAAGATTGTTACCAAAGTTTCAGCGATTGTTCCCAACATCTGAACAAAAGCTTCCGTTGGAATAATGGCTCCCAATGTCTACCAAATTCTGAACGATCGTTATGAAAGTCTGAACAATCGCTCCAAACCTAATGACTGCCCAGTGCCACTTGCACTAAAATGACTCTAAACAGCATACAAAAAACTTTCAGACCTTAAGACCGATGACGGACCATTGGGTGCTAGATTCTGCTGAAACAGGAAATCAGTACTTGCTTAAAATATTTATCCGTATTGCAAACTAGCAGGGTTCACCTCAAGGTGGAAAATATAAATACATTTGCTCAGAAAAGTTAAGTTCATTGCAGTTTGCAGTTATCCGCTAATGGTGCTAATGGTGTGGATCTATCATGTGTTAGAGGAAGTTTACTGTGTAAGATTTAAGAGGGTTGCTATCAAAACTTTTCTTTTTGTCGGCAGACGATTCCAAAAGGGGATAAACTCTTGTTGCGATTGGCTGCAAAGTTTGAAGTGACACTGCAAGTTCGCCAAGATGCTAACCAGACAGCGAGCACAATCAACAACACTCTTCCAGCCGAGAGTTCCACAGCTACTGGAACTGTTTCCAGAATGAGCATCTTGGTAAGAATGTTTTGCCTTCAACATTTTTATATTTATTGTGAAAGATTTAATGAAAAATTTTCTTCTTGTGGACCTTTTTCTGCGTTTGAGAATAATCTCAAAATGTTCTTTTATTTAGTGGTTTGTATTTGTAGTGCTTCACAATTGTAATATGTATATAGGTGGATGTAACTATTTTTAAAATCTACATATTAGCGGTAAATAGACCCAAGAATGTTGAATCAAGAACCTTAAAAGTTGTAGCCCCAAGTCTCAGAAAAAAATGTATGTGAGTTTTGGTAATTTACAGTATAGAGTCTGTTGTAAAAATGATTCCTCCTATTTTGAATAATTTGAATCATTGATTTTCACGTGATCTGTTTTAATCACAGCAGCATTATTGTAAATATCCCTCTGATTTTGATATAGCAAGATAACCTTTATTTGTAAATAATCACAGTTGAATTAGGCTAATTAGTGGTCAAATTTATATTTATATGGATTCACTATAAAAATCACTAAGAATTCCAATTACAACAAGATTCTTGAATAACAGTTCAACAATTATCAAATCCTGTCTAAAAAGTCTTAATAGAAAATGTAGGTGTAATTGTAATTTATTCAGACTCCTCTGCATTTACTGCCTTAAAAGACACATGACTTGTGGGTGAGCAGGCCAAATCTACATAACAAGTTTGAAATTCGAGTTGAATGAGATTTCTAATTAGTTATGCTTATTTTTATTTTATTTTTTTATGATTTTTTTTCATTTGGTGAATTTAAGATTTAGCTTTGGAAAATCTCTACTGTAGATCTGGGAGGCTAGTCTAGTGGTAGAGTGCGGGACTTTGATCCCTGGTTCAAATCGTGCCAAACCACCAGTTGTTTTTATCTAAGTGATATGCCCTAGGTTTAGCTTGAAATGATGTAAAAACAATCCCAAGCTAGAGTCTAACGCCCTAAAAATAAAAAATAAAAAATAACAAACTTCACTCTAGATCATCTATGTTTATCTGGCAAAATGCATTTATGCTGTTGTTTTAAACGTGCATTTACAATTTCATACACTTAAGATATTTACTGAAACTGTAGGGCCCACACTTTAAAATTTACCTCTTGTCTACTAATAATTATTTGTAAACATTTTATGAAACATAAAGACTAATAATCTGTTTTCAGTTTCCAGATGACAATTCTAACTCAGAAGTGGAAGAGGAGGAAGACGCAGAGAACCTCAGTCAAGATTTGACTGTTAGTCGAGCTGTAGATGAATCAGATATTGTGATACCTGATTCTGACGAGTCGTCGGACACCGAGTAAGTAACTGATCTGTAACTCAACACTGATTCAAGAGTGTAAAATACTTGCTGCGGCAAATCTTTGATCCACAGTCTTTGATTGGGTTTGCATTGACTATTGTATACTTAAGTGGATTACACATCTATATGGAACAACATTACCAATGGTATTAAAAACAAACAAAATTATCGAGCCACTAACTGTTTGCTAGAGGTGGGCGTTATTTAACGTAATAGCTTTGACTAGGGTAATAGGCAAAAAGAATACTGAAATGTCACCTATTACCTAGTGGACTAACTAGAATACCCTATTAATGTAGTTAAGTCATCTGAAATGTTTAACAAATAAAGTAAATAACTATCTGCTGATCGCCAATCCATTAACAGAGATCATCGTTAAATAATATTACCTTGGTAATAGATGAATGGAAAAATGATTAATTTTTTAACGTTGTCTGAATTATACAGGGTGTCCCGGAACTCTCTACCAATATTTTAGTGCTTTGATCCTGGGTAAGAAACGTACCTAAATATCATATTTAAACTGTCCGGAAGTCCTTAGTTACTCACACAGCAACCATTTTGTTTTTTTCAGTTATTAATTTGTTTCTAAAGATTGGTTAAACATACGAAATGGAAACTTTGCACAAGCATTTATGACAACTAGACAAAGCTACAAAGAAATTATGAAGATTTTTAAAATTCATAAAACAAAATGGTGGCCATTTAAAATTTTCTTTCTTAAATAACTCAAAAACCATTGATTTTACAAGAATTTAAATGGCCGCTATTTTGTTTTATGGATTTGAAAAATCGTGATAAATTTTTGGTAGCTTTGTCTAGTTGTCCTAAATATTTGTGCAAAGTTTCCATTTTGTATGTTTAACCATTCTTTAGAAAAAATTAATAACTGAAAAAAACAAAATGGCGGCTGTGTGAGTAACAAAGGACTAGCAGACAGTTTAAATATGATATTTAGTTATGTTTCTTACCCAGGAGCAATACCCTAAAATATTGGTAAAAAGAGTTCCGGGACGCCCTGTATAGTATATCTCTATAAATTATATTTCTCCTGGATGTAGAATATTGTGAAGTAAGATTTAATAATTTTTGAACAAGCAGGCAGTGTTAAGACATAGATATCAGTAAAAGTTTGTCTTTAAGGCATACTACGCAGTTGTTTTCATTTTTGTAGATAGCAGAAACAACCTTTTACTCACACTGACTGTTTTTTACAGCACTGAAGAATCAACGTCTCTTAGATCTCCAAAGAAGAAGTTGCCGAGGATATCGGACGACTCGGAGTTCAAACAACCCCTGGCTCCTGCCCCTCGCACCCCTGCCAAGACACCTTTCAAGGTTCCCACCAAAACTCCCAGGAAAACATCTAAAACTCCCGCCAAAACCCCGTCCAAATCCACCACCAAAACACCAGGTAAAACTCTTGCTAAAACCGCTTCCACAACTCCGTCTAAACCTAGTAAAACTCCATCTAAGCGTGCATCCAAAACTCCCGCCAAAACGACAAAAACTAATACAAAAACAACAGCTAACGGGAGACTGTCTTCGAGTTCGTCCGAGGAAGGAACGCCTCCTAAAAGTCCACGGAAATCTCCAAAGTCTTCACCTTCAGAGGTTTCCGTTTCTACTTCTGAAAGAGCCACAAGGTCAACAAGAAAGCAAAAATTATGATTAAACAATTATTGTTTAAATCTTAAATCATCTCTACTGTGTTAAATTAAGTCGGCCAAGTTGTTGACTAAACCTGACATTAATAGCAGGCTTACCTGAATGAGAAAGAGTCCAATCACGGACGAGAAAGACAAAACTATATAGAATACACTACACTTTACTCTATAAAATATAATAATTCACATATTACGAAGGTAAACCTGCTTTCCTCACAAAAAATCCTAATAACCTAGGCCCTTTTGCTATGATATATCCTTAGGCTTGAATATGTGTGACAACCAAGAAACTTTGTTAATTTATTATTTTTGAACATTTTTATAAGAATTTACCATTTTCTTTTTCCAAGTTATCTGACGTTTCCGCTTTTCCTATTTTCCATAATCAGTTTAAATAGGATAATCGAGACTCCACTCTGTACATTTATTCATAAAACAGCTTGAATCTAACAAATCAAGTTTAAAATCAGCTTTTTATTATGATTATTAAAATTTAATTAGGTGAATTTATACTTTTATATCTTTAATGATATGATTATACTTTATTACTAACTTATAATAATACATTTTTTTAAAGCTTATGTTTCGTAAATATTAGAAAATATGTGTACATACATGTTAATAAATTGTTATTATAAACATCTATTTACTTTATTCAAAATTCCTTGTTTATGATGTTAGACATACACAGTGCTCGGTTTGTAAAAAAATAGGTGCCGGAACTGTAACCTATTTAATGTGATTCATACCTGTTTATGCCAATATTTTTATCTTTACAAAAGAGAGGTACTGGAATCCAGAACAGAACTAGTATGGCTCATAAACTAATGACACTGGGACTGGCCTGAAAGTAAACATGTTTGTATTATTATTTAAATTTAAATCTAACTGTAATAAATGCCCAACCAAACGTTATGGTTATAATTTGCTCACAATATCTAGGTGGTTTGAAGGGAAGTTTGTATTTAATGTGTGTCGCTTAATCAGCTGTTCAGCTATTATTTTAAAGGTAAGGTTCTAGTGGAGGGGATAGATTTCTTCTCCTAAAACCTCCTAAATATTGTGAACGAAATATAATTTAAGATTCGGGCCAGTGACTTCATATGTATTTATTTTTGGCCCAAACCGTTGTTCTTCTAATATCCGTGGGTTCTTCTGTACAGTAAAATAGCTCTCACATTCTCTCAATTTTACATCCGTACAGCCTAGTTTACACGGGTCGAGTATGCCGGGTGAGTCAGTGTGCAAGTTGCCACTTGCTCTCTAACTTGCTTGATGTAGGTAAAAAGAGGTCAGTTGAGAGCGAGTTGTTAAGTAGAAAACCGAGTTGCTCGGCCCAGTAATTACCCCCACCACCACAATTTGCCCGTGAAACATCTGTTAACTGCTGTCAAGTGAGTCCAGTGACCAAAAAACAAAATTTATATTTTTTATTCTGTGGTTGCTGAGTGAGTCAGTATTTAGTTCAGTTCAGACTTCAGAGCTGGCCTACTCACTCGACACTCAATGGTTCAGTTGAACAGTTGAACCTCTGTTCTGTGTTGCATTTTGCATTGTCTTACTGTGTGTGAATCTACTCTTATAAAATTCAGTTTTAAAAATCTGTACAATTAAAGATCTAAGGTTCTACTGTACCGATTTTATTAATCAATGGGTAGTTTGAAAGCTCACTCTCTAAACATGTTTTCCACAAGAAATACATAGAAAACATAGGTGTTTTCACATTTTTTTATTTGGAAGCAACTTTTGGCTGCCCTTAGTTAAGTACTTTTAAGAAATCATTATAGTAATTTGTAGCAAATCTTATTCTCTTTCAGAATATCACCTTCCACTTTGGTCGATTTCCTCACCATTTAAAAGTTATTTGCAAAAAACCTAAGCAACCTCTGAATTTAAGTAGTGATTCAGTTTTAATTCCAATAATCAAATTCAGTGATTAAAGTTTTAAATTCTGCATTAAACTCTTGACGTACCATTAAACTCAAACAACACTTAACACGTAAGCTACGGTAACGGGAATGTCCTACACTACACCATAAAGAAGTAATAAAAATTACTTCTCTATGCCCACACTGTCCCTATCAGTAATAGGGATGCGTGTGGACAGTCTAGTCGAGTATTCGGCGAGTTGAACAAATCAACAACTGGGCCGAACAACTCACCTGCCATACTCGACCCTTGTAAACCAGGCTTACAGGTAATGTCTCCTGGTAATTTCTTCTAAAATTTTCCCAGATATTTTTTATGTATTCGGTTACGTCTGTACAGTTTGAATGAATAAATCTACATTGACTAATGCATGAATGATTTTTTTCAGGTTCGGAGTAAAATATTGAATTTACCGGAGGATGAGAAATCTATCATTTTTATATGATAACAAATCCAAAGTTAAGAAAGTTACCTAAATTTAGAATAAATGCATAGAGACTGAGCTAACAGGGTTAAACAACTAACTTAGAATGTTACTTGTTTTAGTATTATTCAAATTAATGCCATACAGCTTATTTATATTAATTCTCAGGGCTCTCAGAATTTTTAAATAAAGTATAATACTGCTGTTTGTCATTTGTGAGGTAAAGTTTATATGAAACCTGAATGCATGGAACTATCAAAAATTGCTGTTGTAAATTAAAGTTAATACATTTGTGGTATGAATGTTATCTTAATTTAGGCATTTTAAATTATTTTGCAGCTTGACATTTATATGTAGTATTTCGTATGTTAACTTAATTCGGAATAAGAATTGCTACAATGATTACTAAACATTGCAAATATTGTAAAAAAAGTAGAATTAGACAGATATGGAGCTATGTAAATATATGTTTGATGTGATTTATGAGTGTTTTATTTAAGTGTAATTGTAATCATTATTATTATAATCATTGGTTCTATCTGTTGAAGTGAATAAAAACTTCTACTAGGATATTCAATACCTTGATAAAAATAAAAAAAATTATATCTCAACTTTTCTATATAGTTACTAAATAACTTGAGGGTTTTCCTCAACTGTGAAAAAAAAAGAATAGAAAAATATCTCAGTAAACATAACCACGCTCTAGAAATACTACCTAACAGTTTAACCATAGACTATAGTAATACCAGAAACAAAAGAACCCTCAGCCGTTTCGAGCCGCGCAGGTTTGAATGGTACGGCCCACCTACCTGCGCGAACCACGTGATCTTTTGGTTTCTGCGCAGGTTGTTTTGTTCGTGGTATATCTATAACCAACACATCAGTGTTTAACCTACAGAGTACAGGCACACTCCACTAGACAAGGGACAAGACTTCTTTATCATCACGACTTTTTTATTCACAATCTGGTCACAGGAGTTGGCCACCCCACCTAGTAAGTAATCTGATTTTACAACTGGGGGTATTTTTGGATTTCATTTTGGAACTCATTTTAAGCCAAAATAGCGTCTTGATATCCCGCGCCCACTACAAAAGCTAGTGGACTGAAGCTTTAAGAGTTTGTCTTTATTCCGTTATGTTTGAACTGAGGTAGGCATGTATTGGTTTCAGTGCCCGAGCTGGGGGGGCCCGAGAGCCTTGACCGGGATTTTTCGGAAATTTTTCCGGGACACGGGCCCGCCATTGTGCGACAGGCTTAGCTACACGAGCCCCCTATCATAACAATATTTACCTAACATAGCATGGGAATTATCATACGTTTTTATGAAAAAAAAAATTGTTTAAACCTGTAAGAGCACTAGAACAAGTAGTTTACTTTACAACAACTAAACTGACACTATTACTTAACCGATCACTATAAACTCCAACCTACTATAAGTAAGAATTGTCATCAGTCATGCAGGTTGCATCAACTGTCTTATGCTGTCCTCGTGGACTGTGTGAAGGCGCTATAATAGTGATAATAGTGCCGTATTTAGAACCAGTGTCTCCCGGCCTAGGAGGATAAAACATTAATGTTAATCCTCCTATACCCCGGCGGGTCACACCAGAGAGGGGGCCCTCTATGCTGATTCAACTAAATGAACTTGAAAAATTTGTTGCGATCAAATCGGCGAATTAGCCTAATAAGTGGCTAGTAGGGCACTAGCTAATAAATAATTCAATTCTTTCAATGATTCTAAAGATTTTAATTTAATGTAATTTCTTACTATTAACTTAGAAGGCTGCCCTTTAGATTTCTTTACTTCGAATCATGTAAAAATTGTTACTAACATGGGCCTCGCGCCAAATCAGATCGGTTCAAAATCGGGTTGCTTTGAAAACTGTTGATTTTTATGTAATGTCGATTTTCGTGCCGAGCAGAGCTTTGCCTATAAAAATTGAGAGATCAAGCACAAATTCAGAAAATCAAGCTCAAGCAGATTTTCTCAGACCACAATACAGTAATGCGCAGTTAAAAGTTAAAGCTTTTGTCCGCGACGATCATGCTCACGAAATTGAAAGATTAGGCCTACGCTTTTGCCGCGATCGCAGATATCTACGAGACAGTATCCGCGGGTGACAATGACGATGTCTAATTTTGCTGTGTTTGCGGAAGACGATAATGATGTTTCTTTTTCCGCGAGAGATATATCTAGTATTTTGCCGAGATCTCGGAAAAAATTATTTCCCCGTCACCACGGGTCGCGGGAGATATTAGGGATTGGGCCATGAACGCGGGGGACGATGATTTTGTTATCTGATGATGTCATAGGTTTGGTTGCAATCACGGCATGATAGGCTAATGTTTCTTCCATGATTACGAGAAGTATTCACGATTTTGCCGTGATCATGGAAGATGACGATGACGCCTCGGGAGATGCCGTGCCAAGCTAAAGTGCAAGTTCAGGCAGTAATACATGTGATAATGTTTTTAAAGATTATTGGGAGAGGGGGTCCGCGGGCTCTTATCGCCCATATCGCCGGCATTGCTTGATTTGTTGGATTGAATGTTAAAATTAATGCAGACGAGCAGAGGATTGATAGGTGTGCCTAGTAGTGCAGCAGAGCGAGTTATCGAGCTTACAGGCACTGATTATATAAGTTTGATAAGTGTACATAGTGGCTCAGAATTAGCCAGCCTGCCCCTACATTACACAGTTAGGACAGGAAATCAACGCATCAATCTCTATTACAATAATAGAGATCGACGAATCAACGCCGTCCCTGTTTATCGGTTGTTGTATACATAAATTAATTGTTATCATACGTTTAAAGTTGCTCATAGGTTAATAATTTATTGTTGTATTAAATATCTGAAAAAATATAAAATACCTGCTATTAGACAATTAAAATTACTGATCACGGCTATAGGTAAAAAAATATTTTATGGTTTTTTTTTTACCTAACTGATCTCCCTTTTTCATATGCCCCACTTTAATATTTTCGGGCCCAACCAATTTTTAAAGCTAGACTTTTTGTTTATCAATAAAATACAATTTGAGAATGCTCAAAGATCACTACAAGCACTCATTAAATATTAATACTATGTTCTTTGCTAATGTATCACTATTTTTTATAATGTGTATAATTACATTAAATATAGTGAGTGCTTTATTTTTCGTATTCTCTATCAAGACGGCATTGCAAAGTTGGATTGATCGCTACTTGATTGTCTTGATTCGCTAGCAGTAGCATCACACACTCAAAAAAATGCTTTCATTCAAACCAAAAAGCTTGTTGATTGATTTTTCAGAGCAAAAGTATTTTGTGTAATGTGATAGAATGATATTAAAATGTGTTGTTAAATTTATCAGACAGTTTATATTTTGATTGTTGTGACTATTTGTGTTATGTTGTAATATTTACCGGTCCAAGTCGATTAATTGACTCGGGAAATCATAACATTTCATTCAAATAAGTGGTGTTTATGTTCGTTCATTGGATGTTGCCGAAGTGACATTAATCTTTTACACTGTTTATTTCGTTAAATAAATTAAAGTGTTTATTCATTTGTGAGTTAGGCATTCATCAGTTCTTCTGAGGGATTTCCTTCCTAGATTGCTTGGTAAGTATTGAATAATATCACATAGCCTAGTTTGTTCAACTTCTAGTAAAGTAGGTAGGCCTAGATGCTAGCCTAAAATGAAGTAGCTCAATTTTAATTTGTAGGTTAAGATTGATCCTAGAACCTAAAGCACAACATCCTTCTGGTCAAGGCTAGGGACGAGCATCGATAGGTCAACCATGGATCTTCACCATCGATGTATCGATTTCTGGCCTAAAACATTGATGTTAAGTTAATCGATGGTTTTCCAGGGTTTCATCTGCTCTTTGTACTGCAACAGCTAGGCTATTTTAGTTTAACCTATAAAACTAATACAATTCAGTCATGGAAAACATCCATAACTTAAGTCGCTAACTTAGACCTTTTCAATACTTGGGCAAAAACATCAATGTTTGACAAATTAATCAATGGACAATTAAATTATATAGGTAATGGTAATTTATCAACACCGATGTATAAAACATTTAACATTGATGTTTCGAAAACATCGACTAGGCCTATTGATGCTTATCTCTAGTCTAGGCCAACCTTATTTTATGTTGGCTGCACTTTACTTTAGGTGCTACACTCATTCGAATGAAAATATCGATTATTCGATTGTTTAATTTGATATATCGTTTGGTTAGTTAGGTTATTTTAAGCTTACCTAACTAACCAAACGATATAGCCTATCGAATGAAACAATCAATTAGGGGGCCTAATCGATATAACTTATCGATCGATATTTTTTCATTCGAATGAGTGTCTAGGACCTAAAGTAAAGTGCAGCCCTTAGGCCTATTCATCACATAACTTATACATGCTTTAGAACATACAGGTTAGTTAATGTTCCAAAGTGTGTCCTAACCTTACCTTAACTTAACGAAATAATTGAATGAGAAGCAGTTTAAAAGTTAAAAGCAGGAAATTAATAAATTGTAATGTGGATGGGTTATCATATCAAATTCAATTGATCGACGGGTCAATTGGTATTTTTGTTAAAATATGAACCAATAATTGTAAGCCTACTTTGAACGGCAAAGGGCTCAAAGCCACCAAGTTTGTACATTTTTTTCAAACTCTTAGCCTACTTTTTGTGTGTTGGCGATTAATGACCTCTATGTAACTTATCTCTGAAAAATCTGTTAAGCTTATCCGAAACGGCGTGATTCACTTTATACCCACTTGTCATGTTTGTAGGTAATACAGTGGTTAGGTAATGATAATATAAGTTGACTAGACTGTGGGTGAGTGATAAGTGCAATTGAGTTACCAGTACACTGTACGGTAATAGGCATGATTAGTTTTGACCGCAAATTAGAGACAATGGAAGTGGAATAAATATTCATAGCCTAGGCTTTCTAAATAAGTTTGATTCATGTTTACCTACTTTAGCTGACACTAAAAGCCTAAAAGATAACATATTATGTTCTAATTTATGTTACCGGTAATTAAAGGTAATTGACGCACATTACTTAGGCGTTTATTTATGGATCTACAGTCCAACAAGTAGGCCTAGATGCTAAAGAAGAAAAAAATTAGGTAGGCTAAAAAGTATTGTTTAACATTGGTTAGTCTAGACCTCCATGTTAAGGGTATGACCTCAAAGGACCTAACATAACCGTCACAGCCCGTTATAAGGGCAACCTTCGTATAGAACCAAAGTAGGTATCAAAAAACTCAATGAAGGTTCAGGATGTAAAGACATTGTTGTGATTTTGTTTTAATTAAGTTAGGCATAACTTGGGTACTCTTACAGTTAACCTTTGCTGTATAACCTTTAATGTTGAACACCATCTGACAGTCTCCTTGGGATATCAAGGAATAAGGTTATTTATTTTGTTGAGCTAAACACATTGCAGATAGTGAAATACATATGTAGTGGTGAAACACAGTGTAGGCCTAACAGTAAAACACATGTAGTGGTGAAACATACAGTGCAGACAGTGAAGCACATATATGTAGTGGCGAAACACAGTGAAGACAGTGAAGCACATATGTAGTGCTGAAACACAGAGTTGACAGTAAAACACATGTAGTGGTGAATCACATAGTGCAGACAGTGAAGCACATATATGTAGTGGTGAATTACAGTGCAGACAGTGAAGCACATAATGTAGTGGTAAAACACAGAGTTGACAGTGAAACACATGTAGTGGTGAAACACAACTATAGACAGTGAAACACATATGTAGTGGTGAAACACAGAGCAGACATTGAAATACATGCAGTAGCGAAACACAGTGTAGACAGTGCAACAATCCACTATGGACACTGCAGTATGTCAATACACAGCCTAATTTTTGCCACACTGTTAAATAATCAAAAACCATCAGCCAGTCCCTTTGGGGTGCGTAGTAATGTAGTGAAACACATATAGTAGTGAAACAATCCTCAGTGGATGGTACTGGTGTATGTCGATACACTGGTTAATGTTTAGCCACAGTGTTAAATAATCAAAAACAATCTGACAGTCCCTTGGGTTATGGAGGAATGAAGTGAAACACTGTAGTTGTGGTAGTGACAGTCCCTTGGGGCCCAATTAAAGCGATCATCTAACTAACAGATAGATGAGTCTATTACAATGGCCATGACAGGCTTACAACCCTTATTTGATCCTGTAAACTGCTTGGCTCGTTATTTTACAAATCAAGGATTTCATAAATAAATAAATCGTATATTGACAGTACCGGTACCGTACTTAAATTTGCAGGACTGCAATATATAGGATAATCCTTTAATTTAATAAATGTTTATGTACAAATATAGTTTGCAACCATTTCAATGAACGGGTTTTGTTGTGAAAAAGTTTTTAGCGTTTCTTACCAGTTAACGATAGGAAGTTAACAGTTCGAGAATGTAATAATTTTGGCTACCACAGGATTAGGCTACTAATTAATTCATCTACGAATTAAATTCCCTAATTATGTAGCAAATTTCTCTTTGTATTAATTAATTGTTACCATTCGTTGTAAACACTGTATTTGATTGTTTGTTTTTGAGTCTAATTCGGATGTTAAAGAATGACATTGTAAATTTGGAGGATTACTTTTTTTAAACCTCGTTTGCATTGTTTAAGTTTTATGTATAGGAACTCAATGAAGACACCATAATTCTCGCTCATAATATTTTATGTCAGACCATTTAAGTTCACCTGGTAGACAGAAGTTTATCAGTTTGATCCTAATGGAAGTGTAGGTAGTTTTTTTTATGGTTTGAGTTAACTCACTTTGTCCTAGATTTTTGTCTTGTGATAAAAATGCTTCTGATTCATTTTAATTGTAGCAGTTAGGACAGACTACTATATCAGTACTCCATGACTCATAATCCTAGAGAACGATTAAATTTATTCTTTGATAAAAATTGTAGCACAATCCAGCTGATAAACTGTTGATAAACCCCCTGGTGGTATAACTGGTTCATTTGTTTAGACCTGTATGTAATTTCCATAATGTAATTTTATGTAGCCTAGATAAACAATAGCTATGAATATGGACATAACGCTCCCCCAGGAATGTTTTTTTAGTTTTTTTAACTGATTTGGACCATGAAACTAAATGTAATTACATTTCAACTTAAAAAAAAAACAAAAAACAAAAAAAACAGCGTGGTTGTGAACTATTGGAAAATGCCCTAAAGCATGTTTTTGAGAATATCACTACAGGGGGAAACAACTAAGAGAGAAAATAAAATAGATTATAGTACACTCGGTGAGTTTATTCGACAATGTTCTTTTTTATAAGAATTTCCTATAGCCTAGCTCGTCCATATAGATTGGGTGTCTACTGCACTTCGGTAGGTATAATAAAGTCGAGGTGCGAGGTGGTCTATATTTAGAATGAATTAGATGAGCGGGACGCTTTTGGTCCCTGAGGTCTCAGGTTCAAGTCCGGCCAAACACCAATTGTTTTTTTTTTTTTTTTAAATTAATGCCGCTAACATCAAGGCATAGTTTAAAGCACTTTGGAAAATAGTTTCGTGCTAGAGCGCAGCGTCTTATGACGTAACAAGTATCCAAAAATCAATGATGGTACAAAACATCCCACAACATTGAACAGCAAAAAAACAAGGAACTGTTGAGCCAGTGACCGAGTGGCAGATAAGACTTGACGTAGGGTCATATGGAAGTAATCAGTTTGTTCGATTTCCAATCCAATCCGAAGCAACGAAGCAGCGACTCCGGTGAAATTACTTACCTCCCTGAGGTGCATGACTTGATTCAATCGCCATCCGCAACTGACAACCCTTGGACGGTCGGGGAGTTTGTTCTATTCGACCAACATAGAATGTTTTATGTCCTTCATATCCTTCAAGCTCTCGTAGTTTTACATGTTACTTCTGAGGCAAGATGGCGGCATTGGTGATTGGCGGGATTTGAACCCGTGACCTCGGGGGGTGAAGCCACTTTTTTATTGGTCAGCTCACTCACTACTTCAAAGTATTTTAACCTCTAAAAATCCACCTCTAACTAGACTTAAACTATTAGTCGACATTAGCACACAATAAACCACAATGAAACGCTCCAAAAAAGATTTTACATTAGGTGGGAAGCTAGTGACCAATTTCAAAATCAGTTAAAAAAACATTTCGTACTGGCACCGGTGATTTTGGCTCAAACGTTTTTGCTTTGACTTTTAACAGATTTATGAATTTTTCTGTAGAGTTAATTAATCAACTTAATATTAAAAATAAATACTATGAAGTAGTTCCCAACCACGTGGATGTGTACGTGTGTGTGTATGTATGGTATTCAGGAAGCCTCGACTTAACTTGGTAATATTATCTTTTGTATCTGTTTCATCGCCATTATCACTTTTGACACGGTTTAAAACACATCTAACGTCAATCTCTTTTGTCGGAAATGATCGTTGATATACGTGGAACAAGACTTAAAAAGTAAAAACAAATATAAATCGTAACATTTTTTAGATAGCAATTTCTTCAACAATTTTAAAACTCCGCCATTTAATGATAACTGTGAGGTTTAATGTGTGCGGTGTGCGCCTCTAACGCCTGGGTCG